GGGACTCGACTTGGACTTGAAGCTCAATGACTTGGGACTTGACTCAGAATTGATACTTTTCTCATTACAGTTGATAAATACAGAGCTAAATTTTACAGGAACAAACTGGAACATTTCCCTCTCACTTCTGTTTGTTACTTTGTATGTAACTGAAGTACTTTAATATTGGATCCTCAAATGTACTACAGTAATATACAGTACAATACAGTAAAACAGAGGGAACTACATACAGTAGAACATGATCTTTCCATTTCAGACACATGACAAAATAACTTGACAAAATAATTGTTATTTAGCACTGAAAATCTAGATTCTTTCTCTTCTGACCATAATTATTCATGCTAAGATCTTGACGAAACATTTAAAAATATCTTTAAAAAGGGGGAAAAAATAACATTTCTACATCTCTTTAAAAAATATCCTGAATATAACATGACTTTACTGCTTTAAGTACAATTTACTTTAAAATTCAAATAATAATTGACTTCAAAATCAAAGCAGACGACTTGGACTTGACTGGGACTTATTGGCCACTGAATCGAGACTTGACTTGGACTTGCCTGTATTTGACTTGGGACTTGACTCAGATTTGAGGTCAAAGACTTGAGACTTACTTGAGACTTGCAAAACAAAGACTTGGTCCCTTCTCTAGTATCTGAACTTAAAACCACCTACCAGCACCAACAGGCCTACATACTTTGAGCCAGCACTACTACAACTCTCTTCCTTGGTCATTAAAATGCCTGGTGCTCTTGATGGTTTCTCAGACTCAAGTTAGTTATATTGGAAAAAAATGTCAGAAGTTATTCTTGCCCCCCACTTTTTGTCATGATAATGCCTTGAAAAAAATCCAACCTGTACTGAAAGAGCACAACCCAGAAAAGGCAAAGTTTTGACTCACCCATAAACAAAGGTAATATTCTGAATTATGCCTGTATGTATGTGACTAAAAGTGTCTCATTTGAATAGACAGGAAGCTGCTGTCATCTATATTAAATCCACTGCCCCACCTTTGGCCTGCACACGTCCTTTCTCCATCCATCACCGCAGCTCATTACAATTCCACTTTATAACGCACACTGTTTTGTAACACATAAGATTGCCAAGTCATTTCCAATGTACCCGTAATGGAGATTAATACTCACTCAAATCAGCCAGGATAATTGAATTTTGGTGCCTGAATGAAAAATGGAGGGAATAAAGGGGCGTTTTATTAAAAGAAAGATGTAGCAGCTTTAATCTATTGCCTCACAGCCACTGTCAGAAAACGTGTGATTTGATCAAATTATTCATGAAAAAACAATGACAAACTCAAATCAAAAGAGCAAAACGGTTTCCAAAAATACCTCATGTTGAGTTAGAATGTTATTTCGCTCCGAGCTGTGGCTGGAGAGGCTGCATTAACAATGGGTGCTGTACTTTTTTCCTGAAACATTTTTCCTGAAAATCAATATTGGCTTTCTGCTAGGCAAAGAGGATCTCTAATACAGTTTTATGTTATTATTATTTCTCCTCGCACATTGCAACATCTCTCCACGTCTGGAGAGCATGGATTTTTGCTTCGACTGAATGCTAAATGCAATTCTAAAAGAGGTGGGTCAGTGGTTTAATGTAAAAAACATATATTGGGCCTCAAGTTGTATTTTATTTATTTATTTTACTTCATAGTAAAGTAGAGCTTTAAAATGCACTGTGTAACTTTTTCTGGTGGAGGATATGCAACCCACTCGTTTCCAAGGATATGCTACTCCCTGGAATATCCCACAGTATGGCATTAACCTGATCTGAATTACGTTTTTATTGTTTGTTTTAATTGGTAAATATAATATAACTTGCATTCTTACTGAGCAGACTCACCTCTCCACTGATCTGACCTGGTCATGACATCAACTGCTTGTCTAGTTTAATTAACATCTCCACAAAGACAAACAGGTTATCCATCAGAAAAGTTACACAGTGTTCCTTTAAAGAAAACTTCCAGCCAGCTAACATCCCACTTTTGCCTTGCTAGTTTAATTTGATCACATTATAAGAGAAAGATAGTTTTATTATGTCTTTATTCTAATCGAGGCCTCGTGTTCTGACTGATCACTAATTGTCTACGAACAATAACAAGAGATGGTCGGTCTTATCACTGGTTGAATAGGGCCCTCTGTTGGTTGGAAGGTGCCATTACATGTAATCTTCAAAATACCTCCTTGTCCATAGAAAGTAAATGAAGTAAATAGGAGTAGCAACCTTTGTTTTTTAGAAAGTAGATTTGGACATATAACCAAAAATAAGTTTAGAATCGACAGCCTGACTGGTCTAATCACCCATCAACACCAACAAGTGAGAGAACTGGACAATAGAATAGGACCCTGTGTCTATACTGTGTAGTAATGTTACATAAATTTGACTTAATATGAACAATGAGTTAATTGTGAAGACGTTCTGTAAGACTATTCACTTGAAGTTCCCATGCTCTGTCCTCTCTCTCACACATTCACACAGCAGCACAGCCCCAGAAATAAAACCCAGGAGCATACACAAATACATGACCTGACGACATTTCAGTGACCCGCCTGTCTGAAGTGGCAGGGTCAAAGGTCGGGGATGACAACATGGCAGCTCTGATTTCTCCCACACAGTCTCCGGGTCGGGGGGCACGAGGCACAGAACGTTTCCCGTGAGGAGGTGACCCGTAACTGAAGGGGTGCTCTGCTCCGTGGACCAATCAGAGCACTGGCAGCGCCCGGGCACGCTACCTGCCCAAGCTGAGCAGCTTTTTCTCTTCTGACAGACAACAGAGGCGTGACTGTGCACCTCGCCTGCTTCATCTGAGGAAAGCTGCTGAGTGGGTGGAGATGTGAGAGTACAATTCTGACATATGCAAGCAGATTATATTAGGATTATGATAACAGGAAAATACTGATCAAAGCAAATAAAACATACAGTGCTTTGTGATTAATCTTCTAGTTCAGATTCAGCAGGGATCACCTGGAGCAGTGGGAAACAATGCAGTGTTCATAGAACTTTCAAATAAAACTAGCATCACCTGTAACTGCTGAAAGATCACAGAAAGATCCCACAAACCCAGAATAAAGTGCAGTAGACAACTGTTCACATTTTAGACAATCTGAATGAAGAAGTTCCTCTAAAACCTACAGATCTGTCAGGACATTGTTACTCTCTTGCATCTTGCAGTGTGGCATCTTTCTCCAAACTAAACTGACCATCACATTTAGTCTGCACTGCACGAGACCAGTGTCTTCTCCTCAAACATGAAAAGACAATCTTTCTCCAAACTAAGTGGTGATGGGTCAGAATGTGGCGTGGAGTGTGAGGGCAGATGTGAGGGTCAGAGGCACGTGGTGGTTTCTGCAGTATTCCTGTTATTCAGGTCTGCTGTCGCCAGACACATTTTTCTCTGGGACCTCTACATGCCATTCTCCACATTCTCACTCGCTCGGCCTATGCACAGTAAACCCTCTGCTCCACTAATTACACCTCAGCAGCACAAAATAGCCCAGTCCCCTTTTGAAGATCTGCAAATGCCTCCAAGTATTTGAACCCCCATGAAATATTCAACTTTGTGAGAAGAGCATCAATAACCAAGTGATTATCATGCATTCTGCAGCTGCTGTCTGCTTCCTGATGTGTCTCCGACACACAGGACAGAGCACAATCAGACTCATTCAGACACAAATAATGTTGATACATTAAAGGACTTGATTTAATCAAACTGTGTCCCCAGATTTGAGGTAAACATGTTCAAATCAAATATAGCACCGAATGGTAGCAGTCAGTGCTAATGCAGCCTCTGCAGCTCAGTGGGACCAATTCTGGGGGTTCTGAGCCTTCACATGAGGCACGGCCTGTCCATATATGGAGAAGGAGAAAAATCTTCATGTATCCTCTATCTGCAGTTTAAGTTGTGATAGTGCTGACAGAGAAGAGAGAACAGGCAACATACAGGGCCTTTAAATAATGCTCAAATAAACACATTTATGATTGACAATGCTGTGATGGTCTAAGCGGCGTCACCCACTGGGCGCAGTGAGATCTCCCCACGTTTCACACACATTTCACTTATTTGACTTTACTTTGATCTTCCATGTCTGTTACAAATGCTAACACTGATGCCATGGTGGTGTTTGCGTGTGCGTGTGTGTGTGTTTGCTTGTGCGTGGGTTTGTGTGTGTGTGTGTGTGTTTGCGTGTGTGCATGTGTTTGAGTGTGTGTGTGTGTGTGTGTTTGCCTGTGTACTTGTGTTTGATTGTGTGTGTGTGTGTGTGTTTGAGTGTGTGTGTGTGTGTGTTTGCTTGTGCGTGGGTTTGTGTGTGTGTGTTTGCTTGTGCGTGGGTTTGTGTGTGTGTGTGTGTGTGTGTGTTTGCGTGTGTGCATGTGTTTGAGTGTGTGTATGTGTGTGTTTGCCTGTGTACTTGTGTTTGATTGTGTGTGTGTGTGTGTTTGAGTGTAGAACAGTTGACTTCACAGACAGCAGCTGGTTAGCCGAGTTTAGCACAAAGAAAGAGAGACAGATTTAGCCCAGCTCAACAGTAGCCAAAACCAATAGAACACCTGCATGCTTGGTTTGGCCAGCAGTAGCTCTGTTTTGAAGTAGTAGTAGTAGTACAAGTAGTACAATATTGGAGCTACTTATATCTAATACTTCAGTAATTCTGTTGTATACTGCAATAGCATTTAACAAAACATATCAATCAGATTTGTTTGTTGTAGGCTACCAGAGAATGAAAACACTGGAATAACCAAATAAAAATACCAACCTTTAATTGACATTTAAGCTGTGTGGATTGAAGCATCTGTGTTCTCGCCCAGAACGTGCCAACCAGTCCTGACGAAATGTTAAGCACTGAGCCCCTCTTATGTGCCTTGCTTTTATGGAGTGATAAATTCATTCTCAAATATCAACAGACAATTACACAGTTTAATTTAGTCACATACAGAACATACAGTGAAGGATAAAACAGGATATGAGTTTCAAAGCGTTTGTGCGGTCGAAGTACAAAAAGTGTGAATAAAAAAACACAACTAAGAAATGGTTGTGTTTCTATTAAAAAAAGACAGTGAAAACACACAAGTGGCAGTGAAGTAGAAAATACTTTGGGATAAAAATACTCTTTTGCTGTGATCTCATTATCAAGAAGAGACGCAGTATAGATGCGGTAGATGCCATCAACGTTGCCTGGGGGTGTGGTGCTAACTGTAGGCACTGCTCTGTCTGAGGTGTTATTCAACTTTAATCTCTGCTTTATTTAATCACAATCTGACCAGAAGAACAAACACCTAAACAGAACAGCGAACGTTTGTATTGATCACAGGCTCCTGAAAATGTTCCATTTGTCCTTTAGTTCCATTATGTGTGTTTTTGACAGTGTTTGCTAATGTGTGCATCGTGTCACCATGGTAACTAATAAACGTTCGACCATTAGAGATACATGTAGAATACCCCAGACATGATGTCACTGCAAAGTATCAATAAAGCACACGTTGATGTACAAAGTGTTATTGCTGCGTCAGGAATAGTAGCTGATACATAACGTGTCCATGGAGCCACTGCTCAGATTTCTTGCAGCAGATTGGCTGGAAAGAAGCCAAGTTTTCGTCCCGTACTGACCTTTAGGTAACCGTTCACCTCCTCACCCTTCTTCACCACAATCTGGACACAATAGACACACCAGATCAATGTTACACTGTGCCATATTGATCAAATTATACAAGTTATACATTCAATCTGACTAATCTGACACAAAACCTGACCCAACATTTACTCCAAAAATGAAAGAACTATAAAAGTAATAACCGCAACCGATGATATGTAATGTCTTCTGCAGTCACTCAATGAACTCAATTTGCATCCATACAAATCTCATGATGTTCTTATACAGATTAAAAAGGGAGGATTATGCAAAATTGACTTGTTGGAGCTTTACACCATGTTATAACACTGTTCCCTCATAACAAACATGCTTGAAGTGGTTTTATATGTCATCTGTGCATGTGTTGCGATCTCTTGAGCACTATTCAAAAAGTTAAAGTACAAGAGCAGGATCCAAAACTCAACTTGACAAACCTGAGGCGATGTGCTGCAGTTTCATTAGTAGAACGCACACTGATTGTGTTGTGATAGCACTCTGAAGGGGGAGTGAGCAAAGAGACAGTGAGCAAAGAGAGCGTATGTGTGTCAAAAGGAAGCTGAGATTAATTATACAATTTAATACCTATTGCATTTTCAGAAAAGTAAAAGGTAATATGGCAATGTTATGTTATGTTATTATCCTTTTTATTTGTCAAAAGTTTGGACACATCTTCCTTTTGTTTTGTCAGAAAATATTTGTTGGAGTTGTTTCACGTTTTTTCTTTGCTACATAATTCCATATACCTTTCTTCTTATATTTGATGTCTTGCTTATGTATCTAAAATGTAAAAAGTAGTAAAAATAAAGAAGAAAAAAGTATGCATATGACTGTGTGTGTGTAAAGAAAATACTGTGTTGACCTGGTCCTTCTTGAGCGTGATTTGGCCCATTTCTCGGTTGCCCACAAAGGAGCGCATCACTTTGTACACCCTCTCTCCCGCTCGCACCCGGATGATGTAGTTGGCCGGGATGAAGCCCGTCCTCTCTCCGCTCTTGCCCTGGAGGAGGGGGAGGGGGAGGTAAAGCACAAACAGCTGAGTGGATTATAACAGGACTGTCTTATCTACATGCCCGCAGTACTGGTTTTAAGAGGCAGTATCGTCAGTTGTTAAAGACAAATAACTGGAGGCTTGGTGGATTTAAGCGCTAGTGTTGTATACGGCTGCTGTGTCCATGGGCAAAGCATTTCACCCATGTAAAGATTCTCAACCATCCAACTCCACTAAAACTATACATGCCCTCAGTTATATTATTAACTTTTATAATGACTTTTGTGCTATTTGGGAGAACCTACAATGTACAAATAAATTCAGGGTTAATTTTAAAAATCATAGAGAAAGAGAAATCATAAATAACACAATTCTCTGAAAAATAAAAACTCTCTGTGTCTAGATCATCTTTACTTTAGTATTTAGTAGTACAGTGAATTTGACATTATAGTTCTGCTTTAGAAAGACAACAAATGCCTTATTAAAAAATTAAAAAACATAAAAATTCAGGTCTCACCCTCCACCATTCTTCATTAGAGTCGTCGATTACTGTGATGCGGTCGCCGGGACTAAAACACACGTGTACAGAGTAATCAGATATCACAGTTTCATTCAATGTAATCATGTCTGCATAATACTGAGTACTTATAAAAGGGACTTACTGCACATCCAGATCATCCTTCTCTATGGCTTTAAAGCGGTACAGAGCCAGGTAGTAGTGAGACTGACTGAACACGCCAATCTTTCCTGGCTGAACCTTCTTATTCTAAAGCCCAAAAACAAAAAAAAATTAAATGCAAAGTATGTGACACTGTATAAAAAAGCAACATTGTGAAGTCTACTTCAAAATTCCTGAAGTTCTACATTAAAACAGTTCAAAAGAGTAACTTTACTTTTAGATACGTTCTGCTACAACATTAGTGTGAGTAAGAGCTATAGCCTTACCTTGTCATCAGAAGGTGCTTTGTCTCCTTTCTTGTCTCCTTCTACATTTGCTAAGAGAATTGAACGCAGAGAAATCTTATCACACACATGTTTGTTGGTATTCAGTTTTGCAATTCAGTGTAATATTAAGAGTAACATGAAATGGTAAATATGATGTTTATCGGAAGAAAACTGACCTCCATCGCCTCCCTCCTCATCTGCTTTTGGCTGGTTATCTTCATCTTCCATCATCATCACCATCTGAGCAAATCAGTGATGGGGAAGAATAATTTGAAAATCTATTTAGTTACAGAATACTGAATACCTGCATTAAAATGTATTTTGTAACGTATTTAAATGAAAGGTCCAATTAGAGTACTGTATTCTGAATACTTAGAATACTTTCAGTCAGGGTTGTATTTAAATTATAAGTGTAAAAATGCAACATGGGATTAAAAACAGCTTTATATTCAGTGTTGGGGAGTAACAGATTACATGTACTGGAGTTACGTAATCAGAGTACAAATTATGAGTAACTGTATTCAGTTACAGTTACTTTTTCAATGAGTGGTTGAAATAACTGGATTACATGGTAGTATTTTCCAGTTTTTCACATTTTGGGCTTTTTTTTTTTTTTTTTTTTTTGCGGTAATTCCACTCATTGCTGGAAACTAAACCAGGTCTAAATTTAGCAGCCAGGTCTAAGACAGGACTAAACCAGAACTAAACCAGGACTAGAACCAGGTCTAAACTAGATCTAAACCAGGACTAAACCAGGTCTAAACTAGATCTAAACCAGGACTAATCTAGATATAACCCAGGTCTAAACCAGGACTAAATTAGATCTAAACTAGATCTAAACCAGGTCTAAACCAGGTCTAAACCAGGACTAAACCAGGACTAAAATCAGGTCTAAACCAGGACTAAACCAGACCTAAAACAGGACTAAAACAGGATTTAACAGGATTTAACAGGATTAATCCTGCTGTGTGGACCGTTTCTCCTCCTCTTCTATTAATAATATTTTTAATTTGGTTAAATAAAGTCTGGGCTTTTTATTTTCTTTTATCAGACAAAACATCTTAAATGAAAATATCCTAGTCTTTGCTTCTCTACAGCAAATCAAGTAATCCAAAGTATTCAGATTACGTTACTCATGTTAAGTAATTTAATGGATTATGTTACAAACTACATTTTGGGGTGCGTAATCTGTAATCTGTAGGGGAATACATTTTAAAAGTCACCTTCCCAACTTTCTTTTGAATTTATTTATCATTGATCAGAGAGGGAAAAAAAATCACACTTGCAAGAGCAGTGTTTTATATTTTTCTCAGTTTAACCTTCATGTATATGTACTGCAGAGTCATTTTCATCCAGTTAAACACAATATCGCAATTATGTTTACATTCAGTATTTAATTTGGTAGTTTTATTTTGCTTCCTATTGGCAAGAAACTCACAGGCTCCAAAAGGAATGAATTATGTATCTATGTTCTTACATTCTTTTTGTCTTCTGAGCCTTTCTTCCTTTCCTTGTTGGCCATTATCACCCCAATACGCAGCGTCTCAAATACTGGATCTGTGCGGTTGGACTGTGCTGCTCATTGAAATATACACAAAGAAAAGTCAAATTAAAAAACAAACAAAATAAGATGTTTACAGTAAGCGTATGACACAATTAAAGGAGCCCATATTACGTTATTTTCTGATGTTCTATGATGTTCTGTGTTATGATGTTTTCTCATCAAAAACATACCTGGAGTTGTATTTTGTCAATCTCTACTGAATAAAAGGTAAAAGGTAACTTGAAAATTACCACTTCATGACATCATAAGGTGGAGCAGACCATTTTTAGCAGTGGAGATGTAGAGAGATTATTAATAAATCAAATCAAATCAAACTTTATTTATAAAGCGCTTTTCATACAAAACTGTAACACAAAGTGCTTTACAGTGATTAAAGACAATCCCACATTTCTATCCACCCACCCACTTACCCAACCCCCACAGCTGCCTGACCCCACACAACCAGACAACCCAAACACGCACACACACGCGCACACACACACACACACACACACAAACACACACACACAAACACGGTAAAATACATAAAACCACACATAGTAAGATGTGAGGCTAAATACAGGCGAACCAGTTGAGAAAGCACCATCAGAGCAGAGAGACGTCCACCACCACCAGGAACCACCACAGGGTCCAGGAGAGAGATGAAGCCCAGACACCTGAGGCCCAAGCACCACCCCTTCACCAGGAGCCCACGGGACAGACCCAGTGGCCACAGCTGGCCTCCGCTCCTGATGCAGAGGCTCCTACAGAGGAAACACTGGAAATCCTAAAAATATGCCTAAAATAAATAAATATAATAAAATATATACACTAGAAACAAGTAAAAGTATAAGACTTCAATCAAATGATACTCAAACATGTGTGAATGAAACAAAACACAACTCCAGACATGTTTCAATGAGGTAAAAATATTCTAACATGGCTTAAAGCTTCACTTCTGCGTAATATAGGACCTTTATACTCTAACATGCATGCTTGGGTTCAGAGGGTGGACTTACAAAACGGCAGCAGTTGTGAGACGGTGGCATTCTGCTGACTGCTGTACAGAGGGGAGCTGTAGGCCCGTCTAAAACCCGGAGGCTACCAAACAAAAAGCACAATGTATAAACAAATATATGAACTGGATCTCAAATCGGACTTCCAAAGAATTGAATTGACTTACAATTTTGCCAAAACATCTCTGGAACTCTACGTAGGACTGACACTGGTGATGGATGCTGGTTTTGCAGTTCTTACATCGCAACGCAAACTTATTATTCACTGGAAATAAAAATAAAAAACGATGGAACAGAATATGTGAAATTAGCCATGGTACTTGACCAAAATGACACTACGAAATGGTACATTAAAGTAAAAGTTTTGATAATATCTCAGTAGACCCAGTAAAGCTTGTGATGCATGGAAATTCAATCTGATCAATACTTTTATCACTCAATGTCATCTTAATTTTAAAAGAGCCCGTATTATGCTAATTTTGGTTCTATTATAACATTATTACCTCATCAAAAACACACCTGGAGTTGTATTTTGTTTCATTCACACACAAACCCTGCAGATTTATCAAAACAAAGAAAACAAAACACAACTGGGTATGTTTTTGATAAGGTAACAACATTATAACATGTCATAAAGCACATAAGAGTCAATTTTGTGTAATATAGAGCCTTTAAAGAATTCTAAGTTTCGTATTTAATATCTTAAAATCTTAAAACATTAGGCAAACATGAATAAATATCTAATGTAAAAAGCAGATTCTTACAGACTATCATTCGCGCACAGACGTCACAGAACTTGGGCTTCTTGCAGTAGTGGTCCTTGAACTTGTGTGGTTTGTCGTTGACAGGTTTGGGGGGTTCGGGAGGGGGCAGCTCCTCCTTCTCCTCTTCCTCCACCTCTTCATCGTAGATAAAGTACACCTGCACATGGGACAACACAGAGGTCACTAAAGACAGCAGAGAGGCCATGGACTCAGGCAATGCAGCGCTCAGCTTTGCACGCACTGAGCAAAAAGGAAGGGAAAGATTTCAAAATGTCCACTTATGTAAATCAAGCAATCTTAATTTACGTCAAGCCTATGGTCGGCACTTCTATCTTGAAAGTGTCTATAAATACCAAACGTCGGTTGAGTCATTCTGTGCTTAAGAGGTGGTCGCACCAGCTATAACACTTGTCTAATATTACAGTAGGAGGTTTTATAGGTATAGAGAGCATCGCTGTCTGTTAGCGCCTGTTTTATAAAGATAATACATTTACATAGGTTGAAAAGGTCCCCAGTGTCCACAGATTAGAGTTGTCAGGATATTAAAATTTGATACTCAATACCAATTTCGATACCGTAATGATGAAAAAAAAAACATTAGAATGTAATTTTCAGCTCAGAATCATAGTGCTTTGTTCTTTTTATCATGTGGTTCTATACTGATGTTGGTGTTGATTTCTTGAACAGTTTAATATCAATCTAAAACTGTTCAAAAAACATCCAATTTTACCACAGTTACAGGATTTTTTCAGTAGCGATACTTGTTACAGTTACTCAAAATTAGTATTCAGAATATGTATTCTTATTCAGTTACTTCCAGTGTTGGAAGTAAAGGTAGCAAAGTATTCTACTTAAGCCAAAATTTCAGGTATCTGTACTTTACTTAACTTAATTTGAAGTGAATACTTTTTACTTTTACTTCACTACATTTGAGAGAAGGTATGTGTACATTTTTAACTTGACTGAAATTGAAAGTATTATTTATGATAGTTTGAGACCTGCTGAAAAACCTGCAGGGTTTATTTTGAGCAAACAAAAATACAAAAATAAAAACAGACAGTGAAAATAATAATAAATAGTAATAATAATTTAATTGTTTCTCTTGAACAAAATTCAGCACAAATATTTATCAAAGTTACTACATTTGGAGCTTTATTAGATCCAAATGATTTAGATTCTATGGACATGTCATTGCTCTGATTCAAATACAGTCCCTGACAAAAGTCTTGTCGCTTATCCATTTTGTAGAAACAAAAGCTTATAACCTGACTTTAAATTAATCGATTGGTTTTAGAAATGTCTCATATGAAAGCTAAAACCCTCCCAAATTATGCTCAATATACTAAAATAAATTTGCTTCACTGAAGAAAGATTGATCATTTAATGAACACAGAAAGGTCAGATTTTGGAAAGACAAAAGTCTTGTCGTCTTGTCATATGATGCACCCAATCCTAGATTACAGCCTCACCTGTGATCAGTTACTGATCAATCAATTAGTGGGTGTGTATAAAAAGAACCCCAGCACACCAGACCTTCACATCAACTGCAACTTGACCTCTGACAACATGTCTAAGATCCACCCTGAGACCAAAGCGTTAATTATCAAGAGGCTGAAGACCAGATCCACTGCTGAGGTGGTGACACCTTCAATGTGTCTCAGCGTCAAGTACAAACAATAAGAAAAAGATCTGAAATGACTGGAGATGTTTTGACAAGCCCAGGTCCAGCAGACCCCGCAAGACAACTGCTCGGGAGGATTGTTTGTTGATTCAAAAATCCAAGGCCCCTTTTCCACTGCAGCAGACTCCACCAGGCCTGGTCACCTCAAGTCCCTGTGTCAACCACAACAGTTTGTAGAATTCAGTCTCGAAATGGCCTCCATGGTCGAATCAGTGCACAGAAACCAGCACTAAACAAAAGGCAATTAAAAAAACGTGTGGCATTTGCCAAGGTCCACAGCCTGCTAAAAGGATGGACACTGGAAAAGTGGCAGAAGGTGCATTTCTCAGATGAATCCTCGGTTGAATTACATCACAGCCGCTGCAAATATTGCAGGAGACCTACTGGAGCCGCATGGATCCAAGATTCACTCAGAAAAGTTTGGTGGTGGAAAAATCATGGTCTGGGGTTCCATCCAGTATGGGGGTGTGCGAGACATTTGCAGGGTGGAAGGCAATATCAATAGCCTAAAATATCAAGAAGTATTAGCTACCTCTTATATTCCCAACCATAAAAGGGGTCAAATTTTGCAGCAGGATGGTGCTCCATCGCATACTTCTATCTCTACATCAAAGTTTCTCAAGGTGAAGAAGATCAAGGTGCTCCAGGACTGGCCAGCCCAGTCACCAGACATGAACATCATTGAGCAGGTCTGGGGTAGAATGAAAGAGGAAGCATGGAAGGCAAAACCAAAGAATCTTGATGAACTCTGGGAGGCATGTAAGACACTTTCTTTGTTATTCCTGATGACTTCATCAACAAATTGTATGAATCATTGTTGAACCACATGGATGCGTCCTTCAAGCTCATGGAGTCATACAAGATATTAAATATGGATCTCACAGCACCACTACTTCATTCACTGACATTATGCAACATATTTTTGTATTTGAAGTAAATTATTTGTTCAATTTTCTGTAGGCGACAAAACTTTTGTCTTGCCAAAATCTGACCTTTCTATGTTCATTAAATGATCAATCTGTCTTCAGTGAAGCAAATTTATTTTAGTATACTGAGCATAATTTCGGAGGGTTTTAGCTTTCATATGAGACATTTCTAAAACCAGTCGATTAATTTAAAGTCAGGTTATAAGCTTTTGTTTCTACAAAATGGATAAGCGACAAGACTTTTGTCAGGGACTGTATTCCACAGTATGGTATTAAACAGATCTACCTTATATGTATTCTGTTACATGTGGTTTTATTACTTAAAAATACCTAGAAAAACAGGCATTCTGACTGTGGGCAGAGTTGCCTCTTCACAGATCTGACCTGTAACTTGGTCCGGTTTGGTCTCCATGAATATATAATACCATACTGCAAAACATAAAGCAATAACATCTCCATGGAGAAAAGCATATGACAGACACTCCACCAGAAAAGTTAGACAATGCACCTTTAACTTGAGTATTATTTTGCTTCAGTGTCTGTACTTTTGCTTAAGTAACAAAATGCAATACTTCTTCCACCAGTCTTCTTCTCAACACTGTGTATCGAGCATAAACACCATATAGTAATTTACAGTTAGTGACAGTGTGTCTGCGCTGAAATAGCAGTCACGTAGCAGAATGGTAAAGGTGGACATAAATATAGTATGGGACAGTGCTGGGGACAGCGGCTGACAGACTGCAGCCAGAATTATATATGACCCCAGGATTTACACTACAATAACTGCTAACCCCACAGATACTTCGCACATAACACCATCCCTATGTACCTCTATCAGCTTACAGAAGCAATAAGGAAGATTCCACTGTATTCAATAGCAGCGTAATCACAGTTTGAAGTAGTCATTTAAAGCATTGTTTCCCAAAGACTGGGTCGCGACCCTGAGGTGAGATTTTTTTGGGGGTCGCCTTGTCATGATCTGCATGGTGGTCTACAATAAACAGTTCTGCCTGTAAACCTGATCTGCTGCTGCGTTCTCCACCTTCACCCAGGACATGCTACAAAAATGCAGACAGGCCCACCTATCTCATTATAAATGTTAAGACATGTTTTGTATAATTTCTAATCAGTTTGAAATAATTTTATTGAAAATTTTGTTGAAATATTGCTGATTCAATTGAATTTTGAAAAGAAAAAGAGATAGGCTTCATTTAAAGTCCAAATAGGGGACTTATGGATTCATTCATTGCTGGTTCAATGACTGTTTTTCATTGTTTAAAACTTGAGTAATTCTAATTGTTCAGTGACACAGTTGACTCAGTCAACAATAAAATATCCTCATTAATGTTCAATAATGGTCAAATCCACCTTTATTTTGTGATTTACGAATAATGTTTGTTGACTTGGGTCACGAAGGTTTGTGACTTTTAAAATATGGGTCCCCAGAAAAAAAGTTTGGGAAACACTGATTTAAAGTTGTACAGTGTCATTTTTTGGTTGGGAGTCTGTTACCTGCTTTTTCCCATAGAAATGCCATTGATCTGCCTGGAATGTTCCACAATACAACATTAAACAACAATCTTACATTTATTCAATTACAGGTGGCTTTATAGCTCAAAAATACCTAGAAAAAACAAGCACTCTGACTGTGAGCGGGTCGCCTCTCCACAGACCAGACCTGTAACTTGGCCTGATTTGATCTCCATGAAGATAGAAAGGTTTAATAGCACACTGAGAAACATTCCAGAAAAAGCAATAACTTCTCCATGGAGAAAAGCATTTGATGGATCCTCCACCAAAAAAGTTAGACAATGCACCTTTAAGTAGTAATTTGGACTTTTAGTAATTGTCACAACAAACTGTTGACAGCAAAGTAAGCAAACTGAACTCTTCCTCACCGTGTTGTCTTCCTCTTTCACCACATTGTCAGGGAGGGGTGGGTTGTCATGAAAGTCCAAAGAATCCTTGTCATCCAGCCTGTTACCATAGTGCAGTTAATGTTACACAATACCAAAGTTTACACATTATAAATACATTCATTCGATGTTTGATGATTTGTACCGCACTTAATACTTAATCATTTAAAGAAACTTACGAGTCATAATTGGCCATATCGTTGTCATTCAGAAACTGGTCCAACAGAGGGCGCTAAAGGGCAACAGTGTGCAAAAGGTGTTATTAAAAATCACCATAACAGTACAACACCTCACCCTTATGTAATAGATAATCTTGATATGTCATTTTTATCTTTGCTCTGTATCTCCTTGCCATACTTCCAATAAATAAATAAATAAACAAACACTTCTTATATATAGCTTAGATATATTTCATATCTATTTTGTACTTTTTAAATTTGAACTTAATTATTTCAAAGTTTACAAGAATATTTTTTGTACTGTTATATTAATGTGAGTTATTATGTTGAAGTGATTAACTTTATGGATCAAAAGAGATTCTAAGTATAGTTCTAATAAAGAATGTTTAATATCTAGTCTAAATAAAGACACATTGTGGTCACATTTACAAGGAAAGATTTTGGAGGAGCCAGATAACCTAACCAACCTTTGTTCAAAAAAGGGTATGTTTTGTCAAAATATTTTAAACTATTGAAAACATTGAAAATAAATTATTTTGATTATTAAAAATTTATCCTCTGAATGTTCCTTTTCATATGAATGATCTAAAACAAATAAGTAATCAATACATGAAATGAAAACTCACTTTTTAGGGTCTTCACAGTCTTCTCTCTGGTCAAGCGTAGGGTGGGCTTCACTTAGGGCAGATCCAAACACTCTGAGACATTTTGCATGTTTTTACAGCCAGTGTCCCAGGGCGGTCCTTTAAACCACAGTCTGCTTAAATGGGACTCCAACAGGTGGGTGCTGTGGATGAGTAATGCAGAGAAGCCAGTCAAGCCCAGGCTATGTGTGAGCATGTGTGGGACCCCATGTGTGGGACCCCATGTGACTGCCCACAACAGCTGAAGCCTCCAAATGCAAAGCTTCCCTAACGGCGCAAAGATGAGTGACAGGCTATATAGTTAAAAAGATATCTAAATAGTTGTTTGAAGGAAATGAAAGGAAGGAATGCAAAATGCAAATATTTAGTGACTTTTCTAAAAAGAAACACTAAAACCAACCACAGGTATAAAAATTATATTATCATGTTTTATAGGTGTTAAATACCATTACACCTGGTTAGCACTATGGAGTGGTACACCCAGCAAAAGACGTCTACCATCAATCTATTGTAATGTCAGACCACAGGCTCCAGCTCATCATCCGTCAGAGAGACAAACAGACAATAGGAGATGGTGGAGGACTACTGCAGCAGGTGTTTTGACACAGACAGAAACAAGAACAGCTGTGTTTTATTATAGAATAGCTGCTTTCTGAGTGACAGAGTACATATGCTCAGTATATTTCACATTAACAGTTACGGGGTTCTCAAATAGCTGACCGTTTAAGATGCAAGGACAGCTTTGTTGGTTGGTACTAGTGGTTACAACAGAATTATGATGAGGTAAAAACCATGGCATCTGCATATGAAAATGAGTCTATAGAATTGGCACAAGAAAGGGAGATCATTCATATTGGGCAGAAAAGGTAAAGGTCCTAGTGTAATGTCTTTAGGGACATCACTATTACTATTATTATATTTAGCTCAGTTTAAGTCAGATTGGCTTGACCAATTTTGACTTGTGACTGAAGTTTGATTAACAGAGTAGAGCTTTGCTCATTGAGCGCTACACTTATTGTTTTTCAGTCACCTGTGATATTTTTGCTTTGTTTCCCTTTTAAGCAGCAATAGTTGAGACCATGTCCTTGACTGGCTATTCGACCTGTCAATCAAACCCATCTAAACTTGGGAAGACTCAACATTGACCAGACTCATATCTTCATAAAGTAGTAGAATGTGTATTCTGGATCCAAGGCAACCACAGATATTACTTAAGACCACTAAGTGTTAAGAAAAAGGGCGGCAATTGTAGCAACTTTTACAAAGGCAGCATTGCTCAGCTGTTCTAATGTGCAGTGTCTGTGGGAGAATAAAACACAAAATTTACAACATCCTGAGCCTTCTTCCAAATTACATAAAAAGTGATCATCAAAAATTAAATAAATCACATAACAAGATGTTTAAATATATTTTTTCTCGACTTTTATATTTTTAAAAACAAACAAAAAATAACAGATTAAATAAAATTTACAGTAGAGTAGACATATGCAATCATTGTGCACTTTAACTACTTTTTCTGATACGTTCTGCACAGCTGTCAACAAAAACGCAAACACAATGGGGGCGACCGGGGGAGCAGGGAGTTGTGGGAGAGGACAGAGTGAGGTAGAGGAGAGAGGTATGAACAGGGAAGTAGGAAGGAGAAAGGAAGGCCTAAACTTTTCACTCAGGAAAGAAAAACCACTGAATATATAGATTTCTTTTATTCCTTACGTCACTTATATAAATATATTGAATACCCCCTCCCAAGAAAAAAAAAAAATCTGAAAAATATCAGCGCAATACAGAGACCCACAACAGCAGTAAGGCAAACAGAAAGCTTGAGGACGGGGCAGAGAAAGGAGTACATGAGAGGGGCTGAGGAAGTGAGAAAGAGAGGAGGCAGAGTAAAACATGGTCAAGAAGAGACAGGAAAGCAGAGAGAGTGCGCAACTGTGCGTATGAAAGTTTATAAATATAATGTTTTGGGTGACAGCTGAGGGAGGCAGAAAAAGTTGGCTGCATGGAGAGGGCCAGGACGAAGGGCTCTGACTGAGGTGGACTGTCCAGTGTCTTCTGTGCTACGTGACCCTGTTGCCTGTGTGGTGTCTCTATGGGAACGTTGTTGTTGGTGAATGATGGAGGCACACACTCCACGGCAACAGTGAAACACATGCTCACGTGTCTTGTGTGCTCTTCTGCTATAAATACTGAACAAAAATGCTGATTAAAAACAAACTATTCATATTTGGAACCAAACACCAGCCACCTCATGATTCACACCTTCTTCCCTTTTGTACATTTGACACATCAACTCAAGTTTTTTTTTTTTTTCTTTTGTGGTTTTTAGATAGAACACTAAGAGCAGTCCAGTCTTACTCTCGTTCCCACCACTCCATCAAGAGTTCGTCTTTTTCACACTCTCCTGCCCCTCACTGAGAACTGGCTCTCTCCAGAACACGCAGATCATAGTTCTTTTTGGCGGCCCGCAGTTTGAAGTGACTGGCCCCACTGTTGTTAAGTTTGAAGGAAGCACTCTGGGCGGCCATGGTGCTAGGAAACACTGCCACTACAGTGTAGAGGTGAGCCGGGTCGCTCCCATCCATCTTCATCCCCCCAGGTCCAGCAGCGCCTCCTGAAGGCCCCCCTCGACCTCCCTGGGGCTCCTTTAGCCACTGGATCTTGGCACCGCACATGGACAGCTGGTTAAAGAGTTTTTCAGCCTCAGGACGTGAAATTCCCTCTGGCAGGTCTGTCACCTCCAACACACGACTTAACGCTGCTGAAAAACAAACAAATAAAGTACTCAGAATGTGTGAATGAACTAGTTTAGACTGTTACTGTTATCTTCTCATTTGGAAATGTGATGGCTCAGGTAGTGAACGATCATGACAGTTAAGTTCTCAGTTTAAACTGTCACTAGCAAACCAATTGTTTGGCAACTTGGCTTTGTGAGAGTGATAGTGACCTGACAATGTCTTGCTGCAGCTAGGCAGCTACATTTCCATTAGTCTGCCCAAAGGCAGTAGTGGCTACACTGGACTTGATCTGGGTAAAGGAAGGACTTACCCACATCATTTCCAAGGTCTGTTGAAGCAGATTTAAGAGTCTGCTTCTTCCCTCTTGCGCTGTGTTTCATGACTCCTTGGCCCTGTACAGGACGTTACAAGAGTCAGAATAAATACATTATTGAGTCAGACTGTTAGAGGTTTGCTTATTCTGACCTGATGGGAGCTATAGGAGGACTGGCCATGCATTAAAGGTGGAGGACATAGACTATACTGAAGAGGCTGTCCCAGCAACGAATAACGTCCATCACCTGAAAATCACAGAATCAAATAGTTCACTTGAGGTATGGGGAATTGCTCTGAACAGATGCTTCCTGTGTGCAATTCTTTAGTACCTTGTGTGGGTCCTCCAGGACGGGGAAACTGGGATAGTAGTGGGAGTGGCCCCAGACCAGCACAGACGCTGCCAGATGGAGATGGAGTCGGAGACTGTGTGGGAGACGCCAAGGGACTGGTCAGCTGTGTAGTGACCTACACAATAAAAATGACAGGTGGTACAGCAAATCAACTAACATCATGGAAGAAGTTCAGACTCTACTAAATTAATAATATGAAAGAATGGGGAGGGGAGGTATAATGAATGATGCTCATTGCAGGGGGGCCCCCAAACGTTGTTCACAAAACAAGCATATAATGAAAATTTTGATTTTATTTTTTTAATCAGCCTTAAATAAGATATCCGTTTAAATGTATTTATATTATTGGGCCTACATGTATAATTATATATCGTTTAGTGTGTAAATCTAAGTACAGAAACATTACATATTCTATTAAATGTAGTGTAAATGATTATTCTTGTCTCGTGAAAAGGCTCTCATCCCACCACAAAAATGCATCTTAGCATGGTAGGACTGTTCCTTTTCTAGGCCATCTTTGTCATCTAAAGCGGGCTCAACATATTTTGCAGTATTCATTCAGGAGTTTCCTCTGTAAACAGAACATTTTGTGTTTTGTTTACCTGTGGAGTGTTGTCAGGTTTGTAGAGCTCTACTGGTTTGCTAGGCCGCTGCTCTATGCTGTAGTATTTACAGGGATTCCACTGAACCAGAGGAGGATTCTGGGATGGCTGGGGCCCATTAGGGACACTGAGCTGCATAACCATTACCCCAGAACCAGGAGGTGGAACTCCTAAGAAGAAGAAAAAAAAACTACAGCTTATCATTACTGTTATTATTAAGCAAAGACCATTCTGTATCCATGTGGATCTTTTAAGCACAACATATTTAGCAAAATATGCCTTCTATCAATCTTTATGTAACATATGATTAGACCAGCAGTTCAATTTAACAGCCACATCAAATCAATAACATCTGCAGCCTTTTACCATCTAAATAACAGCAAAAATCAAATGTATACCGTCTAAACCAGACTTTGAGAGACTTAAGCATGCATTTCTCTCAGGCAACAGACTTTAAGGCGGCTCTGCTTATGTACAAATCTCTCCATGACCTAGCACCACAGTACATCTTTGTCATGTCAGTGCCATATGAACCATCTTGCCCTCTGAGGACCTCAGGGACCGGCCTCCTACTTTAGTCAGGACTAAACACAGGGAGTAAGAGTTTCAGATTCATGCAGCTAAAACCTGGAACAGTCTTCCTGAAGATGTGAGACAGGCCTCTACTTTGATGCTTTTTAAATCCAGGCTCAAAACAGTTCTGTTTAACTGTGCATCTTCATTCTGCACTCTTTTCTCTCATTTAATGTGTCTTTCTCTTTTTATGATGATTATTTATGTTTTGATTTATTTTGTATTATGATTTTATACTCTGTAAATCCCTTTTAATTGCTTTGTGTACAAAGTGTGCTATACAAATAAACTTGCTTTGCCTTACCTAATTTTGGATAGATGGAAGCCCACTAAGTTGAACTTACAAAATGGAAATGTTTGGAAAATATTTTCAAGCAAAGTGTAGAGTCCCTGAGTGTACCTTGAGCACAACCTTGACTTAAAAGGGTTCAAAAATGTTTTTTTACCTGAATATTGCTGTTGCAACTGTTGAGGATTACATGGGGACGGCGACTGTGTAATCTGATACTGCTCAGAGCTGGGGGGCTGCAGGTAACCCACAGAGGGGCTGAAACAGGATCAAACCAACAGTTTAGAAAATTTCATACAATATAGTAGCGCACAGTATTTTTGTAAATGTTAATTACTGCTGACCATTATTTGGCACAAAAAGTTTGTTTTTGTAAAATAACCCCACCTTATGGATCTCATCTTCAGTGGACATAATTTATTGTTCATAGTGTATTGTAAGCATAGTGGTGCTCTGTACCTTGTGCTGTTCTGCTGCGTGGGTGTGATAACACTGTAGTAAACGGGCATGGGCCCTTGGACAGATTGGCTCACAGGCACCATCACCTGCTGCTGGTACTGCTGCTGTACCACCGGCTGACTCTCATTGGCTACCTGGACCTGGGACAAGGCCAAGGGTCAAATATAGTGTATGTCAGGAACACACTGCCGTCCCTATTACAACCTAGGCATGCCAATATTTTAATAAGTAAATAATTTACATGGTTTCTCCAAAACTACTCTTTTCTTTACAAATATAACCCGCTGCAGAATCAAAACTCATTTCATTACCCCAACTCAAACAAAAAGTTCTACAAATGTCCACTAGATGGAGCTGCTGAATAAGTGGTTCTTACCGGATATGAGGGCATTTGTGGATACTGAACCATGATACTCTGCATTTGTCCAGCCATGGGTGGCCTCTGGGAGTTTAGCAGTCCTGTATTCTGAGGCTGCTGGACCCCCATCATACTCTGGTAGCTTGGCTGCTGGTTGGGCATCATTGATGTGAGACCTGGACATGACAAGAGAAATTCATTGACCACACTGGTGTTCATTATTTATAGAGGCACTGGCTCAGGACTCACATCTCAGGCCAAACAATACACCTGACAAGCACATTCATTCTGCTAGATTTCAATGTAGCATTGAAGAAATTCTCTGAGACTGATACATGCTCTCCTCTCTAAATGGCCTGTTGAACAGAACAATAGCTCGAGCCCACCTGACTGCTGCGTGGGCTGGGCCATGGGCTGTGAGCGCTGGGCAGGGTAGGACACCTGGTGGGACATGGGCTGGGACATGGGCTGGGACATGGGCTGGGACATGGGCTGGGACACTCTGTACTGCTGGCCTGAGCTGGGATACTGCCCCGGAGGGTAGTACGACACCTGGATCTGAACACACATGAAACAACAGCATGACATTTTAGCCAGATTTAATCAAAGAAATACAAATAATTGAAGACGGTTATTGATGAACTAGACCACATATACATTTTCCTACTCCTAAGAAAGAAGCTCCTTGTCAGTTACTTAGAGTTGAATTACCAGTATTATAGAAATACCTCTTAACGAGAACAGATGGCATCATTCATTTCTATGCCATTTCTTTGGCACTACAACTAGTCTGGATGTAGAAGTATTAGAAAACCAGACATCAGAAGGACAAAGAGAGGTAGGATCAATAATCCAGCCTCCGTCCTCATCTGCATATGTGACAACACTCTTGTGAAGCTGCATGACGGTCAGTATTTGTACTCTGTTAAACTATTTACCACCTACACACTGACCAAGCCAATATTCCCCCTGCCTGCCAATACTTTTATACAAGTACAAAAGTCCCTGTAAGAGGGGGGCATGCAGAAAGGTGTGAGTAGTGCAGTCAAACAAGACATTATGACAAGGGAGCTCAAAACAAGATGAAATTAACCTTCCTGAATATTGTTTACCAGCACTCCTGCAAGCTAGAACTCTACAGTTTTATCCATTGAACATTATTACAGTTTAATGCAACAAGATCCCCATTAGTAGTGAAGTCTTAATCACAATTTTTCACTGTGAAAATGTGATGCAAATGTAAATGTAAATAACTGGTTGCAGTTTTTCAATTTTAATAGTAAAGCATAGTACATTTTAAAGACACTGTTCAGATTTTAGTTTATCTGCATATATATTTAATTATTCTGTCATTTCAAACTGGGGAGGAGCGGAAATGTAACTACAAGGTAAAATATAGAAGAGATTCAATGCATTTTAATAAAAGTTATTGTATTAGTGGATCAATATCACATTACACATTGGGGCGGCAGTAGCTCAGTTGGTAGAGCATTCGCCCACTGATCTGAAGGTTGGCGGTTTGAATCCAGCTCTCAACATAAAAAAACCATCACAGGTTGAGTGGTCAGATCCACTGACCCACAGGTTGGCTGGTGTGATTCCAGCTCCCACAGATGAATGCTGCCGTTGTGTCCTTGGGCAAGACACTTAACCCACTTTGCCCAGTGTCTGCGTACACTGGTGTATGAATGTGTGTGTGAATGGGTGAGTGGTTCCTTGTTGTAAAGCGCTTTGAGTGCCTTGAAGGTGGAAAAGCGCTATAGAAAAATGTGACCATTTACCATTACTAATACTTGCCATGTTAAATGTATTTCTTTCTAAAACCCAAAATCTAATCAAAATCAAAGAAGTCAGCTTGATCAATCATAAAAAAATAAAAATAAAAAAAATTCAAGAAATGATTTTATGTAGTCCATGCCATAACCAATCCGGCAAGGTTAAGGCTCAATAATACGGAAGGTAGTACCTGCTGGGGTGGCGGAGGAGCCATGTATCCCTGTGGTGGGGGAGGTGCTTGTATGACTGGCTGTGATGGGGGCGGTGGTGGTGGAGGAGGGTGGGGGTGTCCTGTGGCAGGTTGGTATCCAGATGGAGGCGGTAAAGGCTGCCCCGTTGTGGCCATGATGTAGCTGGTCTGGGGTGGGGGGTGCCCAGTGAGCACTGTGGGAGGGGCCTGGTAAATCTGGGGAGGCTCCGGGTTTTCACTGGAGCCCTGCCGACTCAGAGTCATCTGACTGAACTGAGGTGGCAGTTCATCACCCTGTCCAGAGAGAAACTACTGTTAGGTTCAATATATAAACTTAAAATTATGAAGTTCTGACATATTGAATTAAGGCTGCGAAATCATGATAAACAACTGCTTTTCTGATACCACTTTGAAATTATGCCAAATAAAATTACATTGAATAAACTGAATTAGAATTTAAATGAACTGATTGAATTTTAAAAGCACATTTTTCCAGACAGTGTGATCTTGTGTGGGTGCAAAAATGGTTTTGGGATAATAATTTTTATACACTGTGAAAACAAAAAGGTGAAAGTAATACTTGTCATGTGTTACTTGTGGACTAGTGTGTTAATGGGGAGAAATGCTGTTGAGAAAAATGAAGTGAAGATGAAGTGTCAGACCACAGTACCATTGTGTACTGCTGTGGAGGAGAGACTGGCAGGAGAACCTGGGGGCAGGAAGGACTGGAGAAGGAGACAGGCTGAGAGGGCTGCAGAGTAGCCTACACCAGAGACAGGGAGCAGAGGACAGAGCACAGCCGTGAACACATCACAGACAGGAAACGGTTAAAACAGGAGTAAGGGGGTTAAGCTGATGGAGTTTATTCATTTGAAATTAAATATGATATACTGGATGCAATAACACCATCAATTTTAGAGATTTCCCTGAACAAATCCCTTCACAATTTCTTTCATACAACATGAGAACAAAAGCTAAGGCGGCTCTTACCTGAGCGATCATGTGGTTGCTCAGTGGGTGCTGCGGAGGAGTGGGCAGCAGGGCAGTCTGAGGTGGCGCCTGGGGCTGCTGCTGTGGGGGCTGGGGTGGGCATGGCAGTAGGCTACGGCTGGACTGAGAGACTGTGGGTGGGGGACACACATCAGGACTGACTAGAGGCAGGCCTAGTGATGGCAAGGACACATGATGGATGTAGGGAAACAATTCACATGTTACATTTCACTTTCAGCTACTGCTGCCAAGACACTTCTTACTCATAGCTGCATTATCACTAGAGGGTGAACTTTGGTTAAAACAGTCCTGTCTTCTGTCCGGCCCTTCAGTCAAACTTTAGGACCCTATGTGGCCCGTGAGCCAGAAAGTTTGCCCACCTCTGGTCTATCTGCATCTCCAAAGCTCAAAATGCTTTGGCATGCACTGGCAGTTTTAAAGTTAACAGCTACTTTTTACCTTTTGTTCAGTAGGGATAGGCAGTTCTAGCGCTGAAATTACTCAAATGATTCTAGTGGAGTTTAACAACACAGTGGAGCATTTCCTGTATTACCACATGTCATCACAAGGTGGAATAAAGTGTTTTCTGTTTGAGAGAAGAACTAAAATAAATACACAGGCTTTGTGTGTTAAACATAGTCAATGAAATAAAACACAACTCCAGGTATGTATTAAACAGGAAACATCATCATAACATAGGTCAGAAAATAGCATAATATGGGCCCTTTAACAAAAATGTATAAAAATAATAGCAGCACTCACCAGATCTGGAGCCTTTACAGCTTCCTTGGGAGCCCTTGTTGCTACCCAGACTGTCCCCTCTGGTCAGGATGGAGATGCCGGAGAAGCTGCTGGCTTTGGTGACAGGGGGTCGTAGAGTGCGGTTGGAGCTGTCCGAGTCGGTGCTGCTCCAGGGCCGAGGTTCCAGGCACTTCATGTCGCTGTCCGTGCTGCTCTGGCGACTGCTGGACGCCCTGCTCGAGCTCTCGCGGTTCCCCCTGAGAGACAACACAATGGATAAAGACAACTGAAGAAGAAATAGAAGGATTTTACTGTGTACAAGAGTAGAAAAAGTAGTTGGAAGTCAGAGTGAAGTTACAGACAGGTGTTGAAGACATAGCAAGAGTGCCATGAGGTTATGATTAAAAAATACGAGATGAATTATGAACACAGAACAAAGTGGAACGCATGAAACAAATGATGTGACCAGAAAGGAAAAGCACAATAAGGGGTCATTGACAAACTTATGAAGCATTCAACGCAGACGCATACAAACTGGTTTACACATCAGGCAAAAATGCACTGTAAACTGTACAATATTTATTTTGGTTTAAACACATACTACACAATCACACCTAGAGAAAACAGATACTGACCCATTCATAGGACAAAAATCACACATGCGGAGGAACAACGTCAGAATGCATGGTAGTAATACAGTGAGTGAATAGCACAAAATGACATAATGACAACAATGGATGGAGACAACATTCACACAACAAAAAGGCTTTTACATTGGAATACTGTAACTGAAAACGCATGCTTTTACGATGAGATGTGAGACTGTCCAGAGAAACAGACAAAACGTATAGATGTACATAGGCGCTCAGTTCTTAGGGCAAAATGTACATCGACACTCACACCCACTTTCTACAAAAGAACCACTTGCTACCACGTGTTCACCACTACGGTCTGTCAACTATGTGGCTGTATACACACTCATTGTGGCGTGTTGTGGTGCACCCCCCAAAGGATAGCTGCCGAGAAAACCAACAGTCACACACCACTTTGACAAACCCTGGCTGTTCCAGTCAGGACAATGTTAACAAAAACTATGGGCTTAATAGAAAAAAATATCTTTAAAAAGTTATGTATTACAGAAAATGGATTCTTGTGAGCTTTCAGCCATGTTATAATGCTGTTACCTGCTCAAAAACGTACTCTGAGTGTTTTGTTTCATTCACACGTGTTTGAGTAATCTTGGATTATTAGGCTGTCTGCAGCCACAAAACTCAAAATGCTTTGTTCTGTTTTCAAGTTAACAGCTACTTTTTACCATTTGTTTAGTAGAGACTGGCAATTCCAGAGCTAAAATTATCCAAATGATTGTGAAAGTTTAAGAAGTTTTTAAAACACAGTGGAGCACTTATTGTTGCACTTATCACATGACATCGCAAGTTGGAACAGATAGAGAGAAAACTCATCTTAAACATGCATGTTTTAACATGTGTAGATGAAACTAAAGACTAGTATGTTTTTGAAAAAGAATTATTTTTTTATTATTTTACATTATAACACAGATCTGAAAATACTTTCATATGAGCCCTTTAAGATGCAAAGAAGTCATCATTCGGAAAAGGGACAGAAAAAGCAAAAGCGATAAAATACACGTATGCATCATCACAGTGATTTGACTGATGAGAAAAGGGGATCCAGTGAGCAATTTACAACTCAAGGTGTAGTAGGTGGTATTTGAAGGTGGCTTAGGCTGATAAATATTTCATAGAAACTGTAATTAAGGGAGCATCTATTTTGAGTCCTCCTTTCTGAGCACGACCTATTTTAAGGGAGGGGTGGGTGCGCACTTGTTTGCTCGGTCTGCAGACAAGAAATGAGAGTGGCTTCATCAGCAGGAGAGAGGGAGGAGGGACTGCGGCTGGTCACATGGTCCGCCTCCCGTCGCTCCTGACAACACTCGGGCTCCTCACGTGCACAGATGCACAGAGACACATGGAGGGGTTCATTTGCTGCTTTTAGATATACTGTGCTTATTTTGAGCCTGTCTTCTGCGTCCCCTTTTACGCAGCATTGTGCAGTAAAATTATGGGGGAAACAAAAATAGAAAATTATACTTGTAGTTCTAGTTTTGAATGTAGATGGTATTTCAGGTATATTTGAAAACACAAGGCTTAGCCAGGCTCAGGGAGGCACTTTCCAAAATATTATACGGTTATGGCAAGTGTAATGAAAATTTGCTTCATGAAAATAAGATTGAACATCATTTAAAACAATCAACGTTAAATCAAGCCAGGTTACAAGCCTTGTTTTGGCCCATTGTTTTGTTTCAGTTCAGCCTTGAGTTTTCATCAGTGAATTAACAAAGTCAGACTCAGTGAATATAATCCAACCTTTACTTATTACCATCCAATAATCATGGTGTTTCAGCTAGGGATGCAAAGATACAATATTGGATATGGGTGCAAATATTGAAATTTTTGATGGTTCAGATATCCGTTCAGTCGATATCTCAGTTTGGTCTACAAATTGGTGTAATAAGACAATTTACTGACCAGTGTTTTTTAAGCTATTCTCTAGTTACATTAAATGCTAAAAACAGTTGTAAAACACATTTATGTCATATTTATGCACAAATCATTAGTGTTCAAAGAAAATATTATTTTCAGTCTCTGCACTGGTATCGGCTGATGTTGGATAGCCAAAGTATCGACGTTGGTATCAAAACAGAAAAAGCTGGATTGGTGTGTCACTAGTTTCAACATTACTGTTTGCCAATGCAAAATGTTCGAATGTTTTAATCACTTGTATTTGGCCAACGTGTAACTCATGTTTCACATCCTGCAGCAGCACGTTTTATTAGAACATTTGGCCTAGATCACATAATACACATGTGAATGAAAAATATTTTGTTTTCTTTTAGTTACGATTAGGTCAATATTGGTGAGAATCACCTAATCACGTTTCCAGTCACTTCAAATTGTAGCTCTAAATACGGATATAGTGATGGCATGCCTAGTTGTTCAGTACAACTTCTGTTGATCTGACCAGTTCTCTAGACCAATAATATACTGCACATTTATTCAACACATTTGTTCAACTTTGAGGTAACCAACAGTGTTTGAGAAATCTCTCAATAATTTAGGAGTGTATTTTAGAAATGATCAGTAATATAGTAAATGCAATGTTATTTGCAGTAAGTAAACAAGTGACATGCTAACATAAACTGCAATCCAAAACAAAACAGGTTACTGTGGAAACAATGCAGTTACTTCATACAAAATGCTGACAGTGGATGGGTGGAAAAGGTAAGTAGGTCAGTCCTCTGTGAAACCACAAAGCAGCCATGCATGGGCCATAGAAAGCCCCACAGTGCAGTGCTGAAAGAGCCATCCATCAGCCCACTACGCCAAGCAGAGAAATACCACCACAAGTCACCACTACCACCACCAAACCACTGGAGAGGATGGCCATGGCAACACACATGCCAGCAGCAGTGCCCCAGTACCTAAAGATCTGCCTCCTCTTTTGAGAGCTAGAGCAGTAGCCCTCTGTGGAGAGTCTGTTGGGTTAACATTCAAAAACAAGGCTAGTGTTATTGGATTGTATTTGAGAACAGGAAATGGAGAGGAAATAACGCAAGGAGGTGGAATAGTGCATATTGTGGACAAATTAAAAAAGGCAAACATGGCAGAAAGTTGGTCTGCTGAAAAGCTGACCACACTTCTCCTTCCACTATCTCACAGAACTAGGTCTTAGTCTTTCATCTTCTGTGTCAGTACCAGGATGTTTGGGCAAGGAGAGAAAAGCTACTTTACTGCTGAAAAGAGTTGAAACAAACTATCATACACAATAACACACCTTGGCCTTGGGATACATCTCAAAGTATGTACTACAGAATATGAAACTTGTGTCACAGAATTATTGTAAGTAACGATGATCTTACCTGTTGTCATTTATGTATCCGTTCTGAGAGGACTGCAGAAAGAAGGAAACCTACATATTATTAAATATGTTCTTAAAACATCCTATACTTTGGCTACTAATTTATCATCTGTTTAGTGATCAATGAAATAAACAACCTGCCTGATGGCGTATTCATTGTGAAAACAAAAACAAGTCTCTAGTTTCATGTGCATTTATTTATTTATTTTTTTTATTTACTCACATTATTTGCCCAGTAATAAATCATAAAATGTGTGAATATTACTACCTATACATATCACCACAGGCCAACCATGGCAAAAAACTTACTTCTCGGGCAAAGATCCGGTCTCGTACCCGCTGATACTCCTCTTCTCTCTCCTCAATAGATTTGCTTCGCCGCCCGTCCTGCAGTGGCACACGAATCTAATATCGAAAAACAAAAATAAAAATACTTGAGTAAACCAAATGTCAAATCTACTCCCCACCCAGTCCCACCTAAATGTGATACTGTAAAAACAAGATAAAAAATGTAGCTTCAGACTTATTCCCATCAAGATACTTGAGTATCTGTGGAGAATTGGTAACCTAGTTACGAAAGCAGGCCCTATTACACCTCTATTCCACTAGGGGGTGTGAATGCTATTATGTAGGGGTTTGCACTTTCTAGTTAATGCACAATGTTATGAACAACCAAGATGGGCAGGGGGGAAAGTTGCACCTGGACTAGAACACTGAATTAAAAAAAAAAGTGTAGCTAAATGACTTCAGTGTTAACATGGAGACAAAATAACAGGGGCTTATGTTACATAAGCGGCTCATTATTTTACATTTTGTTCATTTATGAATGATTTCAACAGTCCAGTTAAAGGACATTGAGGGTAGGTGCAAACTTTTACAAAATTTTCTCTTATCACTCAAGCCTCAAATGTAGAACAATAAAGGTTTACTCAAACATGTACAAATCTTTCAAAATACTAACCAAACGTAATGCCAATGCTAAGTCAATGAAGAAGGCACACAGTTATAATGTAGTTAAACATTTATAAATGCTGATTTAAGGATTTTGATCTGGAACTTGATCACATGCGTCAAATTTCGGCATAAGTTCAGATTTTCAACAGCAGAAACGTTGGACTAACATAAACACATGTTCCCCTGTACACTTTGCATGTAAACTCAACACCCCTGACACTGAGCTTCTGAATGCAGCATAAAACTGAACTGTACAAAGCATCCATCCATCCATTTTCTTCTGCTTATCCGGGGCCGGGTCATAGGGGCAGCAGTCTAAACAGGGACTCCCAAACTTCCTTCACCCCAGACACGACTTCCAGCTCCCCCGGCGGGACCCCAAGGCGTTCCCAGGCCAGCTGAGAGACATAGTCCCTCCAGCGTGTCCTGGGTCTTCCCCGGGGCCTCCTCCCGGTGGGACATCCCCGGAACACCCCCCGAAGTAGGCGCCCAGGAAGCATCTGGAACAGATGCATGAGCAACCTCAGCTCCTCCTCTTGACGTGGAGGAGCAGCAGCTCTACTCCGAGCTCTTCCCATGTGACTGAGTTCCTCACCCTATCTCTAAGGGAGCACCCAGCCACACTGTGGAGGAAAATCATTTCAACCGCTTGTATCCGCAATCTTGTCCTTTCGGTCATTACCCAGAGCTCATGACCATAGGTGAGAGTAGAAACAAAGACTGACCGGTAAATCAAGAGCTTCGCCTTTTGACTCGGCTCCCTCTTCCCCACAACGGTCTGATACAACAAATGCATCCCTGCCAATGCTGCACCGCCTGTCAATCTCACGCTCGGTCCTACCCTCACTCGTGAACATGACCCCGAGATACTTGAACTCCTCCACTTGAGGCAGGGACTCTCCACCCACCCAGACAGGGCAAGCCACCTTTTTCCGGTCAAGAATCATGGTCTCAGACTTTGAAGAGCTGATCCTCATCCCAGCCACTTCAAACTCAGCTGCAAACCGCCCCAGTGCACGTTGCAGGTCCTGGCCTTATGAAGCCAACAAGACAACATCATCTGTGAACAGCAGAGATGAGATCCTGTGGTCTCCAAACCGGACCCCCTCCAGCTCTTGACTGCCCCTAGAAATTCTGTGGGAGGGGAGGCTGAGGAGTGGGATTCCCCTGTGGTTGGAACACACCCTCCAGTCCCCTTTCTTATACAGAGGGACAAAGTACAAAGCACTGGCAGGTTAAAATCTGCCCTAATGCCTTCAGAGGAAATGAGGCTACAATTCCATTAGACCTGGAAGAGGATGCCAAAGCACAGTTAATAACAAACATCACTTAAATAGCCTCCTTGGCCCATAGTTGCCGTAGTTACATGTACCCTGGTACAAACCCAGGATCTTATTTATAATGTGTGCGCATGTACAAAATTATTGTGTACGATCCTGTGCAAACTCTGAACCTTGCATGTGATGAGGTGAGGCAGATGCTCATTTAAGTGTCTGCCTCTCCTCTTTGCCCCGTATGCATCACTCATTACACACCGCCACACATCCAAATATGCATCAATTTGATTGGAAGGTAATACAGAATTTTTTTGTTGTTGTTTTTGTTTTCTTTGTTTCCTCTCCTCTCTATGTACAGGCAAGTACAACACCAATGACCACAGGTTTTATGGTTTTTTTTAATATTTGCTACATGAGAGTAAATTGTGTTAATACTCACACACACTTGTGGGTGCATTAATGACCACAAACCTGATTATCATCTTTGTCCATGCTGGCATCATCTCTTTTAAGAATAAATTTCTTTTGGAAATCCATATTACGTTCATCCTTAATGTGTTCAGAAAATCTCTGTTCAGGGCTGCGGAAATACAAAGACAAGATTAGGAGTTTTGTTTTGTTACAACACAATGTTTGTGCACTTCCTTACCAAGTGTGCTTGATTTGCATAAATTGGCTGGCTTATGATATTGTTTGTCATTTAGCCTTTACATTTTCAAATTAGATTGATTTTTAAAATGTATCAACCTAATATGCAGTAAATTGTTGTATCTAATAGATTTTTCATCAAACTATGGACACTCATGATTTCCGTATATAGACTAAAGTCACACAAACTCACATTCTTGTGTTGCTGGTCTTGTTGATGATGACTGCTTTTCCCGTTTGATCCACATTATGGTCCATTCCGAAGTAAGCAGCCACACGATGCAGCAACATGCGGTGATATGAAGTCATCTGAGGAAACTTCTTATACTGGTTACTGTAAAAGTATAGGCAGCAGCAAATAAAATCATAATGACATGATATTCTTTGTTATTTAGTTTACACTTATGACACAAAGATTACATGATTTATTTTGTTCCATTAAAATTCCTATATTGATCTAAGACGACTTAATAATAGAAATAGGTTGGCGAAATTCCAGTTGAACTGATCTGTGTCTGCCCCTTATATTTGAAGAGCTAATTAGTGGACAACAGGACAATAAAGACCATTACATCTCCTTTTATTAAACATTTGATCTATCGCTTATCGCTGTATAGTAGACGTGCCAAAGCTGAACTTGGTGTAACTATAACATTACATACTAATAGTGAACCTATTTAGAGCTCATTACAACCATGAACTATAAATATGAAGTTGGGAATGTGGTTGTCCTATATTTAAGTACAAGGATTGGCTTTGAAGAATGGTCTTACTTGTCGTCATTAATAAACTCCAGGATATCTTGTTCTAGTTTGAGCAGCATCATTCGATCCCTGTAGAGGTCAAAGGGGGGCAGAGAGGAAAAAGGGTCACTCAATGAGCACAGAGTAACGTGACTATGTAGTCAAATAAATATCTAAATCAGTTTAGAAACTAATTTATTAGTGGTTAGCTGGTTTAAGTACTTAAATGTATTTCTACCAGCCATCATTACGTTAAATGTGACAATAAATTAAACCACATACCTGGGATTGTTTTTCAGTGTGTTGACCAAAAACTCATGAACATCGATGCCTGTAGAGTCTGTGTATTCCTGACTGGAATCTAAATTAACAAAGGACAGAATTTTGTATTATAAAGCTGTTGGAAAAAAGAAAACACTTTGTCATTTTGTTAAATTGAAACAACACAGTCCGTATTGCACCCATAGCTCCCAAAATGGCACCCATCACAGAAGCCGCAGCAGCATGCCAGGATGTTCATGGAGGATCAACATAACAGAGCAGATTACAGAGAGGTCCATCCCTCTCTGCATCTCCCACACACACTCTTCAGGGATCATTTTCCACTATTTTCCACAACACTAGACAGTCGGACAAGCCATTTCATTTTATGCTACTCTAGGTCTAATGACGCTTTGGGGCCACTGCAGCTAAGGGGCCATGGGTAATTTAAGAAGACATAGGATCCCCATTTCCTTTATTAGAATATTCTTGTCAAACCCTTGACACAAGCCAGTCCTAATCATGACACACTATACAAAAGTTGCTGTGTCAAAGGATCAAGGTTTTTTCGAAAATGGCAGCAAATGGGCTAAATGATGACTGTATTTTAGTGTAGGGCTACTGTAATGGTGTCATAATTTTGTCTGGAAAAAAAAAAAAAACAACTACACAATGATTGTCTCAACTCTTAATTGGGCCAATTAGTGTTAACTTGTTTGTTACAGCCAAATAAAAAGTATGAGAGCATCTCAGGTCGTTTTCACACAGCCATTAGTTAGGGCGACATAAAAGGGCATTCGCCCCGAGAGCGGTGCCAACCCAACAGTTACATTCTGATTTGCATTAAAAGCCTCCTTCGAGAGCACTAGAAACAGGAAGTCTGAAAGCAAGGTTGTTGCACACAGTGGTCGGTCAACAGAGCACATTATCATGTGTGAAAATGACCTTAGTTCTGATTTTTAATGAAGTGTGTCTTTTTTATATTACTGTTATGTTATACCGTTAACAATATAACTGAGTGCATTTATGTGTTCAAAGCATTGGATTCAAACATACCACGTGATAACATCTTTCGTGGAGCTTTATCCTTCTTCTCCTTTTCTTCATTTTCATATTCATCCTTGGATGACTTCTCTTCCTCTTTGTCTGAAGGACAGCTGATGTGTAATTGAATAATATCCTAAGATCACAACACAACAATGCAATCAATTAAAAGATTAAAATGTATTTTGATTTGCTTTTTAAAGTTATTAAAAGGTAAAAAAAAAAATTACCGATTCTGGAGGTCCATCAGAAAACGGACCAGAGGATTCCTCACAGACTGCAAGGCTTCGTACCAGTTTCACTTTGGCATTAGACTGGAACAAAGTGAAATTCATAACATAACTTTGGTATACCTTAAAAAGTGCTTAACTTTTTCATAGATAAAAGCCCTTAAGAGTATGTCTGACAAACCCTATGCTATCTAGCTCTAATCAGTGACTGAGTTATGGGCGGGATCATATCATGAAATCTTCCAGCCCTTCGCGAATACCCTGTAATAGCATGATGTAAGCGAGACCGCAGCGACGAAAACCGCACTGTACACCTCTATTTGGACGCATTAGGGGCGTCTGGAAGAAGGAGAACAAAGAGAAAGACTCGTGAACCGGAGCTCGCAGCCGGGTCGGAGTACAAAGCCCGCAGAAGCTCAGAGTCCACAGCTGGTGGACGCTCAAACACGTTGCATGTCACGTTGCATCTCACGTCGTCAGAAAAAAGTGAAAAGACGCCAAACGTAAAGAAACGCTCACGGTGGACTTTTTCAGTGAGCAACAGACTTTTACAATAAAAAAATAATAATAATAAAATCTGCATTAGTGGCATTAAAATAATTGTCGGCAATAATGAATTAATTAGTTAATGCAAAATTAACGCGTTAAAGTGTCGTGTGTGTGTGTGTGTGTGTATATATATATATATGTGCATATATATATATATATATTATATATATATATATATATATATATATATACACACACACATTACAATGAAAAAATAATAACACTTCTTAAGAATCAGAAGACACATTAAACACTGTTAATCTGGGGTAAGAGAAGTTTTGCTCTAAATGACAGATGACTAACAAGCTTGTTTGGGATTGTCTGAGTTTGTCCTGAGATGGTGAGGAGTGGTTATCACACTGTGAATCCAGATCTGAGGAACATTGTCAAAAATACTTACTTTGGCCCTTTTCCTTCCATGGCTGTGGTTAGGAGCCCGTTTCTGAAAGACAAGAGAAAGTTAAGTGCTGTGTAACAACTCCAAAATCTCTTTAACATTACACAATCAAAATGTGTAAAAGCCTGTGCTTTTCTTTTTACATGCATGTTTAATTTTTCCCTTATTTGGTTTGAAAGGTTTTATTCTTTTTGTTTCCAACAAAACAACCAAGTGAAACAGACATTATAAACAAAGAATTCTTCAGTGTGGGGAAAAATAATCTGTTGTAACTCAAAAACAGTGGTCATGTGTGAGACAACTGCCTGGCTACATGTGATGTGGTAAGGGTTAATGTGTGGCAGCAAACACAAGAGCCATAACTGCAGTGCTCCACCACAAACAGGAACACGTCCCCAAATTTCACTATGAACATGTGACCTGGACTACGCCAGGCTTACCAGTGCATCCTGTGGAAGTGTGTCCTCAGTCTCCTGGGTATCTCCTGTCAGCTCCTTGGTGCCCTGTGGTTGAGGGGAGGTTTTGCCTCGACTACAGGGCTCAATGAGTGGCCCGCTCTCTCCCTCCTGCTGGATGTCTGTAGTCAGGCTCACTGACATCTTCTTCGGGGAGGGGGAGAGGGTGGGAAATGGGGAGGGGGTTGGGTGGGGGACCCAGGAGTGGCTGTAAAACAGTTTATAAGTTTAACATCTGGATAAATGGGTGCCACTTTATTTAACCTAATTATTAATCTAAACTCTAAACAAATAAAAGCATTTTCAATGCCAATGCATAAGAGTGCAAAAAGTTACCTGTAATGTTCAATAATTCCTTAATAGATTAAAACTTGAATAATAAATTAAAATAACCTGATGATGAACAAACTTGGAGGCGGGGTTTAAAGAGTTTAAATAGTGTTACAAAGAATTTGATGTGTAATCATACACAAAAGAAATGTTCTTCAACTGTACCTGTAGGTGGTATCAGACCAGGGTCCGTGGTGCTGTGGCTCTATGGGAACCACAAGCCAGAGGAAGAGGGGCAATACTATGGGACTGTACTGGGCTCAGCAGCGGCACAAGTACAAGCACTATCCATAGCACGCCCAAGTCCCCAGAGTCTGCACACATGGAATCAGTCACATATGAAACACTTTTGACAAGTTGCAAACAATGCAATTTTATATTCCAACAAACACCTGTAAACTATTTTTGTGCATGCATTTAAAAAAGGACGACAGGTTGCAGGATGAAAACAAAAATTCACTTTCTTTGAATAACAATTTAAAAAAGCATGCAGGATATTTACAGCAGTCAGGTGGGCAGGTGGCTGGGGTAGCAAAAGGCGGCTGGGCGGGGGGAGGGGTGAAACCTCAGAGCGCGGCCTCCAGCTCAGTGCAGCAGCATGGTGTGTGTTCAGCCGGGAGCCCTGGACCCAGAGCACAAGAGGAGACACGGATGACGTCATTATTCACACAACCAGTGACTCATCGCTGCTGCTGCTGCTGCTGCTGCCGCTGCTCACAGGAAGGGGGGGACACAGCAGCTCAGAGCTCAGCATTCACTGGAACACAAGGCTTATGTATGAGATATTTTCAGTTATAGGACAACAGCGGCACCAGGATGACTGAGGGACTGCAGAGCAAGAACACACCACAAATCACAGATTGATGAGAAATCAAAGAAAGCGCTTTGGCAAGCAAGCAGTATCACCACCAGCATGGACCAAGATAAAGAAACAATATGGCTGATAAAGACAAGTAAATAAATATACACGTCATTTACATGTTGACTATAACTATGATGTACAATGTTGCAGAGCAGGAAAGAGGAGCACACCAATGAAGGCAGCAGGGATTCCCACTGAGGGGAGACACGAGCAAAGCTAAAAGAACGTCATCAGCTGCAGCAGCATTATGCTACACCAGTGACCAGGACACCCACGTACCCCCACCCAACTGCACTCTGCTTATACAACACTGCTAACAGCAGCACAGCTAACATCCATAGAGTTTAGATCAGCAATACAAAAGGCCTGACTCAGTCTCATCTTCCTCAGCATCCTCTTCAGTTCTTTGAGCGGTGTTCAGAGAATAAATGCCTTTTGGGTTTGCAACTGAACGCACACACTTCCTGTTTGGCATTTCAAAGCAGAGAGATAATGATGAATCACAGGCGGAAATGGGGTACACTGAGTGAATATTGTACACCCATTTACCTTTCTCCCTCCTCCTCCTAGTTTTGTTTCAGCCTTCCTCTATCCAGAACCCCCACTCTCTGCTTCTCAACACACAAAAACGGATCCGGAGGGTTGCCAAGGAAATGGTAACGTCACTCGCAACTGCTGCCATTTGTGTAGAACAGTTGTCGGAGAGAAGGGCAGGAAAACAAATGAAATTAAAGATAAATATGTAGATGGAGGTGTCCACAGGAAAGACTGAATAAACTACTTGAGTACGAGAGAGTGGAACACGCCAACAACCATGTGCACAATTCATTTGAAAAACTGATACTATTGTAATGAGGTACTTTCAGGTCATCCATAAAAAAGTAAAAATAGTAAAAGTAAAATAAAATTTCTTAAATTCTTTCATTTCAAAGTGAGCAGTGGATGCATGGAACAATATAAAGATGAGGCTATAGTGTCTCACAATTAACACCATTCTGTGCAGTGTTTCCCACACTCCTTTATAGTTAGGGCAGCCACATTGACAACAATTGCCCCACGCCCCATGCCTTGACTACATCCCTCCAAACCATGTGAATCCTCGCAAAACTATGGTCACGCTCTGGTCCTCACTTTTGCCGGCACGGTATCTCCTGCATGTGAGTATGTCTGGAGAGTAGGGATAGGCAATATAAGACTACAAAAACTGTACTGTAATCTGATGCCTTTGACAAAAAAGTGATTGCGATTCAGAATTTCCTTTTCCTCAGACTCCATTATGCATCGCTGTGAGGCAGATAACCTAGTCACTACCAGAAGGCAAAATAAATGATGTGTATAGTTTGGCACATACCTTGATTTAGAACAATGCCTTGGCTGCTCTACATTCAAAAAAAATTTGGCTAAGGCAAAAAAAAAAATCTTTAATGCATCATGCATTATAAACTAGCCATAGTGATCTGGGATCAAAACAATATAATTTTTTTGGCTGATCAACCAACCTCCCCTGTACAAGTGTGTACAACTCTAAAGTGTCCCACGTGGCAGCAGTAAAAAGTGTTTAGGTGGTGTCGGTCTGGTGCGCAGTGTGGAGGACCCCAAAGTGAACACAACAGTAACTTATGGGCCTGTATGTACCTCTGAAGAAAAAAGATGCACACTTTTGCAGCATTTCAGCAAATTAGCAACATCACAGTTTAAAACTATGGGATTTTAAATGTAAAGAGCCAAACATACAAGAGCCAGCCCAGAACAGTTGGATGAGGAGGCTACAGTGAAGAACAGGTTGCTCTGACCCACTTCACACAAAGCGACCTCTCACTCTTTACATGGACCTCTTGATGACAGCACACCAGCTGAGACACAGCAGCCACACGCAGCCTTGCTCTGCACTGTGTCAGGTTACTGCACCCAACACTGTGAATGGAAGAGTGCCCAGTCAGACAGCAGCCGCGGGTCAGGGAGACGGAGAGGGACACTTGTCATAAGCGCTCACAAAACAACACAGTGCTTCAGACACTACTCTCAGACTCTGTTGTGCAGGTATGAGCTCACCGGCAAATTTAGCTGCCCCAGGTCAGGATGGGTCAGGGTCTGGGAGTAGTTAGCCATAGGGCAGGTCAGCCTGACTAACAAGACCAACTGTATCCAGCATTCTAGCACGGAAGAGATTGCCTTTTAACACTTTAACAGTTCATCTATTTCTATAACCATCATGATAATTACTATATCAACTTCAATAGATGACAGATGGACTATAATTTTAGGACTTAATATTTATTGTATGTATTATTGTGCAACTCTTAGGAAGAGTTGTAAAAAATAAAATGATAATAACTTACATAGGTTTGGTTTTGGCTAGATTATAATTCCAGTAAAATTGTAATTGTCATTAACATTATCTGAAATTGAGCCCACTATTATATTTGTGGTATGAATAAAAAAAGCACAAACTTCCACATCACAGACACCCTTCATTGTAATGTGAATCATGTGGAGGACTGGAGTTCATTCATTGCATTTCCTCCGTTTTCACAATGGAGAGATATGCGACGTGCCTCTCCATTTTCTCTGCTGAGGCTGAATGAAACTCAGGTGAATGAAAAACACGGGCGGGCGCGCACGCACACACATGCACGCACGCATGCATGCAGGCAGGCAGGCAGGCAGCAGAGGAAGAGACGCACAGGCCGGGCATTCTAATTCATTCTCAAAACCGCAACCCTGTGACGTCAGAGGCAACCCCATTCTAAATGCAACTAGCTTATGCATTTGATCTACATTGCTCTGCTTATACACATTACATATCACATATCATATATATGTGAATGTGGCAGTATGCTTCAGTGAGGATTCCCTTTAGTGTGTGTTTTACAGTCTGAAATGGGAAGGGCAAGGAAAGGGTCTGGCAGAGCACTAGAGGAGGAGAGCAGTTTAGGAAGACTGTAGCATCACTGAATTTCACTGAAGCCAGCGTTTCCATTTAAAACAGTTGAATTAGGGAAAAAACTGTATGATAGCAAGGCTTTTGTCCAATTATAAATGCATTTAAATCCAAATGTTCCTATAGTACTCTTGTAATTTTGGGAATGGGAGGTCTGTATGAGTGGAACAATTTGGTTTATAACTTTGTAACTATAACTAACTGCAATACCATTAATATTGATAAGAAATAAGAAAAGTAGAAGTGTTGCAGATCTAAAAGCACATGGCTAATTTGCATACACAGAAAACTTCTTCATTTGTTGTGTGCATACTTCAACACAGAGCACTGCCTACATCTTGTTCACTGCAGATTGTCAATGGAGATTACACGAGAACAAAGTACCATGAAAGAAAACTACACAGAAGAAATAAAGTGAAGCCACAGAATCGGAAGACAGGATTTCTCTTTACACCACGTACGTCTACATCCTCCTCGCTGCCAACCCCCACCACAGCGAGGATACCCCTTCTACTCTTTGATGGACCCCTCCCCTCCGAGTATATCCACCCACTGTCACTGTCCGCTCCTCGTCTTTCTCCCTCACTCTGTCCTTTTTAATGTGTCATCTTAAATTGTCAGACCTGCTGCTGACGCCATCCTCCTCCACTCCACCAACCCACTCAGTCCTGTGGGACGAGCTATGACTCATAGGCTCCCTCCTTCCCTCTCTCTCCAGAGTTACCTACCTACCTTTCCTGTAGCTCACCATCTAGCTTCTGTGGCTGCTTAAAGCCTGTGCATGGTTTTGTTGCCACAGGTTGGGTGGAGGAAGAGCGGAAACAGTGCAAATGTTACACAAAGATAACGTGGGTGATGAAGACAGGACACTGGGCACGTCATAGGAAGAGGGGATTCCTGCTTAGGAATACTTAATTTACAAAACTGCTACTGTTATATCATATAGCTTTACCTGAGGTTTCCTCCATAATGTGCTGTCCTACATAATCAGCTTTGATTTTTAAATGTACTATTACCAAATGTAGTGTTGGCTAAATTGTCCATTCTAAAATCAGTTTCACAACAAACAACAGATGTTGACCTATTCGCTCCAAAACAAATTACCACAAAATATGACCAAGTCTAGCTAATCTAAATGACTAGTCTGGAGGACTGGTCAGAAGAGAACGCATGAATGAGAAGATCACTACCTTCATTGGCTCTAAGCCAATATGCAACTGTAGAACAGTTTACAGCTAAGCCCAAATTCAAAATGTACTTAAGTGCAACAAACATACAACGGGTCTGCTATTGTCTGCCAACTGCTTTCTCAAATCACTGAATGCAGATCAGAGGTACTTTGAAAACATTAACACAGCTAATTAACAAGTTTTAATTAAGACAACATGTAGTTGTCTTGTGATCCTTAATGCATAAAATATAATTGCTTGTTATATACGCCATGTGATAGAAGTAACAAGAGTGTCTGTCAAAAAGCCCATCACATTTCCACTAAAACATGCATTGGTAGTAGAGGGGAAATATGCCAGCCCAGAATGTACTAAGTCATCACAAGTGTGGAAGAAAGACTTTGGGAGGCTGTCTGTGCATCCAAGACAAACCTTGTGTAATTTATCAGTTTCTCTTAAAAAGGACGAGTGAGAGGACCAAGGGGTGGTAAGCGAGACAGGACGAGAGGAAAACTTCTCAATGATGAAACAATCTGCGCTGTTAAATGATTGGCCCAGTTCTCCACCAATGGGAGGGCCAGCTCCATGGCAACAGGCTCTGTCACCAAGAGAAAATAAGCTATATCGCTCTACACCCCCAGATTTCTCTCTTCTTTTCTTTCTCACGACCCTCACCCCTTCCCCAATTAAACAAGCTGCTGTGTGTATGAGTGAGGAGCAGGTTCAGACTGATACCACACAGACAGCGTCTGTAAGACGGGCCTGATGTCAAGCACACGGTTCAATCGCAGGCACAACAGAAGCACACATGGGGAAGGGGGGTGCAACATAGTGTTTTGAGAGGTTTAAGACTCAGAATCTCACTTGTTTGGGCTTCATTTACATTGACTGTCCACCTGTTTCATCTTAGATGATAAACAGCCTAAACAAGAGTTCTGCTGAAGCTTAAGAGGAATATATTGACACCTAACTACCACCATGCTAACCAGGTTTGAGCAAATAACTAGGGGTATAACAGTACACATGTTTGGTTTGGTGCACATTTTTAATGTTTCAATTGTATTCAATAACAGGGCACAGTGAAAAATAAGTTCACACGTGTCACACGTTTCTACGGTGACACCATTATAAGACGGACAATATTTGGGACACACTTCTTTCGTAGTCTATAATTCATCAGTGCGAATTTCTGAGTGGCAGTGATAGTTGACAGTGTCTCTGCAGTACAGACAATTTTGCAAAATATCCTGATTGAAGCTGGCCCAAAACTGAACCAAACCAAATTTAGATTTCAGCATACTGTTACACCCCCTGCTTTAATTCATGTCACTGGACAACTCTCAAGGAATATTTTAAATTTTTTTCCAATTTATCTGAATCAAAACATCAGATGGCCTTGTGAACATCTACTGACCTGAAAGCTCACATATTTGGAACAAGGTGCCCAAGTAATGTACAGTATCTGATATGTTCAGTATGAACTACTGAGAAATGACAAAAAAATGTCACAATTCCACTATGGGAAATAATGCCAATGTGTCTTCAGCTTGCAAGGTACAAGGCAGCCAGACCAGCCAGACCAACATCCGGCAACATGCCAGTCCAACTGCCAGACTGCCCTGGTGGGCCGGTGCTAATGGTGCCCTTTTAGAATGTGGCGGTTTCCTCTAGAAACACAACACAGCACACATTCAGCCCTCTGCTCAGCCAACCAACTCTGAGCTTAGCCTTTTTGGAGCAGGGTTCACCTGTTTTTAAACAGGGTAGTACGATGTATAAAAATTCTTTTGATTTGCACTCGATTCAGTAAAATTGTCGACTGATATGGGCACTTGAGAGATATCGGCTAGCAGTCAAAATCCAGTCAATAAATCCAATAGTTCAAGTGGACATTTTATATCTTGTTGTATAGCTTGGACTCTAAATTACAGCCATTTTTCCAATTTACAGACAGACACTTGTATGTGGGCATCACATCTATTATTTATCAGTGGAGTAGTTTGTGCATTCAGGTGCAGTACGGCGTCAGAGTCACATGTTATGGTCTATTTACACCAGTGTGCTTTGATCATTCAACACTTTGAGCGCTGGCATTAAATGCTTCAGTCTGAAGTAAACCTCTGAAGTAAACTTTAAACTAGAAAAAAAAAAGGTAACCACAGCACAGTTCAAGCCAGCAACAAAACTACAGCTTGTTTTTATCAAAGTGTCAGTGCGGAGAAGACAGACGACTGCCGTCACAGACCGAGCACACACTGCTGTTGTCAAACATACTGGATTATATTCTATTTACACACAACTGTTTTGAGTTAGGATTAAAAGTAATCTTATTTCTGAAGATTTGGGATCTGAGAGGTAGCCCATATGAGTGGTAAGTGTTGCAAATGTATTCATTTTTCATTCTTTCACATTGGTTAGCACTTAGCTACTGTAAGCTACCACACAACAACCTGTTTTCGCTTACATTGGGCAACTGTAAAGTGACTATATAGTAGCTGTTTACATGTTACTGGACCTGGATTGATGTGTGAATGAGCTGTGAAGAGAGTTGTGAATGGTCTTCCTATTTGGGCTGACAATTAATAGTTATGGAATCACAATTTGGGATGGCTGCAATCATTATAATAATATGTATATGTATAATAATAATGTATAAAAGTTATCTACTTTACAATCCTGTTCTGAAATGAATGGGATTCTTATTTTCTTTATCAGTTCATATTTCACTGTCCCAAAAAAATTCTCCAAAAATCATACAGCCCTTGCTTCTACAATGTTTACTTCATTGGTAGGTTAGTGTATGGCCAAGCGTGTCATGTTAAAACACCATTAGGCCTAACTACTGTCTTTAAAAATTAATTTAAAGCCTGAATAAGACCAACTAGAAATCTAATAGAGCTTAATCTAAATAGTATAACCATAGGATTTACAATTATAGTATTACATCACTAAATATACCAGCCAATATGTTGGCCCCCAAAAAATCCCAATTGATCAGGTCCTACTTTATACTTTATACTGTTGTGTGTCTAATGCAAAATTGACTAATGTGAAATGAAACTTTAAGGCTTATTTATAAAATGGTAAAATGTCACATTTTTATGTAGCATATTTCCACCTTGAAGGCACTCAAAGGGCTTTACAACAAGGAACCACTCTCTCACCCATTCACAAGCATGTTGATACACCAGTGTACGCAGATTTAAAAACAGGTGCAGAAGAGGTCTGCCTATAATGTGCAAAGGCAGTTCATTCCACAGTTTTGATCCTGCCACCACAAAGACCCAGTCCCCTCTGAGCTTTCAGCTGGTTTTGGCACATCCAGGGGGTGCTGGTTAGCCCACCTAAGACTAATTGTCTACTTAAAATAATAAACAATATACATATTTAGATAAAAATCTTTTAGACTACTCTAAAATTGAAATTAGTGACAATGGTGCTTGAATTCCCATCTTGATGAGCTCTGGATAAATCAGAACTATTATAAAAGATTAACTAACATTTCTTGTTTAAAGGCCACAATTAGGTACTGCAGTACCAAGTCCCCAGCGGCCCAGTTGGTTCCCATACATTGCAAAGCTAATAAATTTAGAGCCTTGGCTAATGCTGAGGGTACATTTATAGGGGTGCAAAAAAAAAAAAAAAAGATTACATTGTAGCATGTTCAGTGGCCTGTACTCATTGCCATTGCCCTTTCTTTTCCACATTGCTTCCTGAATACTTGTCCATCCCCAGGTTTGACAAAAGAAATGTGCACCACGTGAATGGTTTTGAGTGATGGCAGCTACAGTGGAGCTAGAGCAGGCTTAGAATGGGGCTAGGCTAAATCTTACAAAAGCTAATTTATAGGAGCTTTGAGGCTTTCAAAAATGGTTTGTTGTGAAAATGGAAAGAACCTGGCCTTTGGGAGAGCTGTCGATCTGCTGTTAGCTGAACACGGGCAGTCGGATTATATAAAGCATGCACATAAGCAAAAAAACAAAACAAAAAATCACCAGAACCAGCCCACATCTGGTTTAAGTAATTTAGTTTGTTAGACACATTTCTTCAATACTGTACAAAGATGTAACTCTGGTCCCCACTGGATCTCCCAGAATTCAGATGGGTGGACAGGTGTATTAGGCATTGAGGGACACAAAGGGCGATTACAATCATAATTACAATCACAAATCACAAGGCAATAGTGGTGAAAACCTCTTCACTCTAAAACTTTTATTCAACTGATAATTTTTTTTTCTTTTGTTATGGGCCCTACCTGGACAACTGAGGGGCTACACAGATATTCCAGGCAATATGAGCATCCCTACAAAAAATGTAGTTAGTGTAGTAGTGAGTCCAGTGAAAATAACCACAATGAAAAAAAAAAATTTAATTGCAAATCGCTAGAGAAAAACTGCAGCTGTAGAGTGTCTGGTGTGCACAGCTGTAAATAATGGAAGTCTAACACATGAAGACTTCATGAAGACTCTTTGGGACATCTAAAGGTCACTTTGATTCTGAAAGAAACCGTTTAACTGTCTTAATGAAGTTACAGCCTAACACAAGATTAGACACATGTATTACTACACAGAAGATTATTATTAGTTTACATACAACATGAAATGCATATGAACTGTGCAGAGGCAGGTGAACTGAAGCGCATTTTACCATCCACCATGCCAGAATCCTGCCCACCACATACAAATAATTGCAGCGGAAACACTGAGATGCTTCAGTGATGCTCAAACAATGACAACACTGAGCTAAAATAAGAAAACAGAGCCTTGATGACAGGCCAAGTGCTGACTAGAGACACTTGATGGTATGCAGACTTTGACATTGACAGACTGGGAAAAGACTACATTTACATTCTGTCAGAAATATACCACCCGATTTTGAGTAAGCTAACATTTTACTTAAATGTGTGCACAGTTCGCTCTAGTTTTCCCTTGTTCATGAGTGAGTGAGGGTTAGTGTGATGGTTCCGACAGGCCTTATAAGCCTGAACGTAGATTGGGAGCTGTGTGTCAATTACAAAAAGTACACATGGTGTCAAGTCACTACATCCCAGAGCTGACCTGGCAGAGGGGCTAGTCAGACCCCCACTGAACTCTGCCATATGTTTACCTGGAAAAGACACCATCTCCTCCTCCTGCCCAGCAATAGAGTGATCCACCTTGCCTCTTACATAACCTGACATAACCTAGAACAAGAAAAAACATGACAATAAGTCCAAAATGTGGAAAAATAAATGCTCTAAAAACAAAGACTTTACTGAAAGCACACAAATCAAATGCTTCCAGCACTCAGGTTCTGTACTACAGAATAGGTAGGAGTTATATTACCAACTTTCTCAGTGTAATCTTTCCAACAAGGATTTAAAAGGGGTACCTTCTGCACTTTATGCAAAACATGACTCTCAATGGTTATAGTTGGCACACTGTAGAATCTTTCTGATGAAATGCCATAAAATTGTCTGAATATGATTATGACTGAAGCTGAGAGAACCCTTGAGAATAGCCCACACATGGGCTTCTCTGGATAAGCAGTATTATAAACCAGTTATTCAAGGGACTGAGTTAACCTGGATTTCTGAGTGGAAGAGCACTGAGCGACATCAAAGCCAAATCACAGAGAGAGCTCACTGTCAATCCATCTTCATAGTATCAAAACACCAGGAGTAACAGTAAAGTTACCCCGCTAAATCCCAAATCTAGACTTTATGGAACATACTTCTCTAGACTCAATGAAGGACAGATTACCAATACACTGTTCAAGTTAATTGTGAATGTAAAGGTAACCCTTAACTCTCTTATGATGCTTAACATTTGTGTGTGAACACACTGATTCCACTATATAGGATATCAGCTCGTGGATTATACTTGTGGCCATACTTGACCCCAATGGCACCAATGGCCATGGGCGGTAGTTTCTCTCATAAAAATTCGAGAAGGAGGAGTTAAATTATTAGCATCAAGCGCAGCTAACATACAGTTAAACTGTACCAGATGTGGTGCTGCTATATTGCCAAATTCCATTTTTCCAAAAAATAAAAATCACAGAACTGTACAAGCAATGCATCATTATTACATAATGACATAAAAGTATGAATTATAAAAAATATGACATTTGCTTTTCTATCCTAGCCCTTAGGCCATGTAACTGTTGTACTTATTATGCAAAATACTGTAACAAAACACACATTTGATTAAACTCTTATAAACTCTTACAAAAAAGTAATCATTTAATAATTTTACAAGTAATTATGAGTAATCAATAGAAAAAGTCAGTTTCAGAAGGATGGATCAGGCTTTTAATGTCGCTACCAACCCACTGCAAATGGGATGCCTGGTCCCACTGTTCTGAAAGATGGACTATTTAAGGTTTGAAGATTAGTTAACCTGAGGTGGCAGAAGAAGAAATTTTAACTGGAATGCACTCCAGAAATGGAACACTCTTGAGCAAAATCAATATATCTAAAAAAGAATACCAATTAAAACAAACAAATGCTGCATTAGCCTGATGTTCTCACTCACAACAAAGTTAAATGTGCAATTTCAGCATACACAACAGGCAGAATAAACAGCACAACAAATAAAGCATCAATGTTTAATGCAGCGCGCCAAAAGAGCTGGAGGCAGCGTATGATTGTTCTGGCAACTGTACACTAATGGTTTAGGTAAGACTTTAAAAAAGGAAAAGCATGAAATCCTGACTGAAGGCAATTACAGCAACACTTACTCTGGGGAATCCTATTGATTTTATCCTCCCTTTCACTCCCTCCTGTACTTCCACTTCTATAGCATTTCCCACGCATATGCAATAAGTATATGCAAGAATGAAGCTGAGGACACACTTATCAGAGAAGTTATAAAAAAGGATGTCAAACAAAAAGGTACATGACCAGCAGGAAAAGGTGTCCTTTGTGCAAAGATGGCATCCCACCAAAGAGGCTACAGCAGAGCTGAGATCTAACTTTAGTAACACAACACCGCACACAATGGTGAAGTAATGGAGATGCATTTGAATTTAGATATTTCATAAAAAAAATGTGCCATCAACTCTGTTGAGAGAAAGGAAATACAAAAGGGATATTTTTTGTATTAAAAATACATTAATGTTGTTGAAACAGAAGTATTTCACAGCTGCATATATTCTTTGACAAAGTCCAAATGAAAGTGTCATCTAAGTCACTAGGCACAACTCAAATACTCAACCAACCATTATATCGTAACAGCAAGAACATTTGAAGAGAGAAGAGGAGGAAAAAACAAGGTTTTCTAAACCTGAAACAGTGCTGAGGCCGTGAGGATGGCATGCTATTTATAGCGACAGATTTTTTATTCAAGAGGGCTCTGCTCTTGTGCTTTCTCTCTCATGCTTTTGCTGCTGCAAATGCATCTTCTCTACATTCCTTTTGTATTAGAGTGTTGTATTAACACAAGGGATCATAGCTCAATTCACTGTACTCATGTGTGCATGTTTCTGTTGTTTGTAGAATGCAGATATCCTTTATGTAAGCCTACAGGGTGTCTGTATCCCCTCGTAGCTCCCCAAGGTGTGACAGCGCAACCCTGAGACGCATACTTTTGGTGACTCTCTACCTCCCACCAGGCCACCTCCACCTCCCCTCTTCCTCCTCCCACCCCAGGACACAGAGGAAGGGAATTCCTTGTTACCTCAGCATTTGCCTCAGCACATGTGTTGTATTTAGAGAGTACAGTTCACTGCACTCACTGATCATGAGCTTCACACTGGCATAAAACTTTCAACATGTTTTTTTAAAACACATAGTATTAATATACAGTTGTAGTTATTCAAACAATGCCCTGTGTATCATTTGTCAAATACTGTTCTTATAAGACAGCTTATAATTACAATCATTACAATCATTACCATGAGAGCTTTATGAAGACCATACAAGTGCCAAGGAGGTTCACATTTTCAGACAATGGCCATATTACTGTAAAAGCCACTTAGACATCACCTAAATGAGCACAAACTGATACGAGAGACAAAGCTCAGGCTTACTGTATGCAGAGTCCACCGTGAGGTTCTCCATCCACCTCAGGTCAGGTGTGTGACAGAGAAAAGTGCTGGAAACAATAGTGTATATTCCGTTTGTAAAGCTTTAAAGCAGATGAGTCTCTTCAGATCACTACTTTCTCCCCGTGGAGCCGGGCTCTAGCGTCATGTGTAGAGGTATCCATACTTCCCCATGGTCTCTCTTTTCTGAATGAAGCAGAGGAGAGAGGCGAGCTTGCCGGTTCCCTCTCTCCCTCCTGCTCTTATGCCATCATGCGCATAGCTTCCACCGCTCCCTGCTCAAACAGCCCTCCCTCTCCGCTGCATGCTCTGCCACAGACACACATCTTGTTAGGCCTCTCCATCTTTCCGTGTGACACTCAAATGGCTATGACAGCTATTACAGGGTTTGTGGGAAACCCAACTCTCTAAAGGGATGCATAATCTATATCATTTATAAATATTTTAATGATACACCTGCCTCCAAGAGGTCAACAAAACAACATATTCTAACTGACTAATTTCTAACTCATTTCTTCAAGATGTTCACCTCCAGGTTTGAGTTAAAAACTAAATGTTAACCATCCATAAATACTGAATTGTCTATATTTAAACCACAGACTGTATGGACATAGCTAACCAACTCGCCACCTTATTCCAAATGGGAAGAGAGCATGGGTGCACTTCCAGCCTCACTGACTCGAATTCATTTTTCTATTGAAAAACAGGCGCTCCTCTCTCAGACTACTACTGTCAGAATTCTCATTTTGGTTTTAATTTCATTATTTTGTCCATAAATCAAGATATGAACATTAGTAACAGACAGATCAAATGTTTTCTTTCTCAGAGGTCACTCCCGCTAGCGTTAGCAACAAGTCTGACAGCACTGCTAGGTGCCTGCCACCAAAAGTGAAGGAGCAGCGAAGGCAGGAAGGGGTGTTACTTTCAACAGGCTCGCTCTGGATTGGCTCTTTGGTTGCTATGATACTTGCCCTCGAATTCCAAATATGGAACCTGGCTCCAAATTTGCCTTGATGAGCTTTATTTGACTGAAACCGTATGCTATGGGCAAAATAGGATACTTTATACAGTATATGGTTTAAACGCAAGAGTGTCTGCAATTATTTCACACTAGACTGTACTTTTTAGTAGCAAAACACCCAGGGCTGGGAGCTGAAAATTAGCATTAGCATTAGCTATACACCCCGTGTGGATAATATCGTGCAGTGCAGCAGTTTTACAGCGATTTCTGATTGTATTGTCCTTGCAAAAAACAAAAATCAAAATGAAATGAAGAATATTGTGAATGATGTACAGCCCATGACTGTTTAACCTTTTAAAGATTTCTTTATTTCTCCAACCAATCCAGATATTTGAACTAGAGCCCGACCGATATTATCGGCCAATATGGGCACCTGGAGACATATCGGCTATCGGTCGATATGCTTGCTGATATGGGCCGATATTTCACGTGGGCAGGTTATACCTCGTTATAAAGCTTAGACTCTCTACATTATGTTCATTTAATCCAATTTATAGACAGATCGATGTCCTAATATGTGGCTCCGCATCAGTATTTATTTGCGGTGTAATTTGTGTCCGTACTGTCCCTGAACACACCCCCAGAGTGACGTCACTTCACTCACGTGTGTTTGTTTACACCCGCAGCCGTGCGCAACACTGAGATTATATTCTTTTTATGGACAATCGGTTTGAGTCTGGATTAAAAGGACATTTATTAGTGCAGACTTGTGATGTGAGGAGGAGCCTGTGTGAGCGGTGAGTGTTGGAAATATGTCGACTTTGAAGGGGTTATCTGTTAGCGATTAGCTGCTGTAGCTCCCGCACATAAACAGGCTGTTTTCTATTGGCCTATTGTAAAGTGACTGTATTGTCCGTATATTTGTTACTGGACCAGCATTGATATGTAAATGAGCTGTGAATAGACGTGTGAATGATCCACATTTATGCATATAATTAATTATTATTAAGTGCGCACGTTTTTACGGCTAAAGGCTAATAGCGGTAGTTTCTTTACTAGCTAGGAGTTATGGGTCGGTCGCGATCGAAGCGGCTCTTCGAGCCGGCTCTTTGAAGTGAACGACGGGAGCATGTTTCTTATTGGGAGCCGTGTTTTCTGTTTTTCTCACTTTTTCTCTTCAAGCCGCTTGTAGACCC